ATACATCAATTCAATAGAGAAGATACAGAAATTGTCAAGTATTATTTGAGTTATAACTACATTTTTGTCATGTAATGCTAGTATTTTAAAATTTAAATATAACAATACAACTACTATATGAAACGTTTGAGTATTGCCTCTCATGTTTGTTCGACTATTGTGTTATAAGTAAAAACCGAAGAGTATGTAATTGAAACTGAATAACTAAAAAAAAATTCATTGAAAAACATATATTTTGCACCTGACTAACTACAACAAAATAAATCAATTTTTTTAATAGACACATCATACGGCAGACTTTTGTTTTTTCTTTTTTTACATGACTTTTTTCTAGCACAAACGATCATCATTCATCGATGGCTATACGGCTGGAACGAGTTTGACTAATAAAAAAGTATGTTATAGAGACAAGCAAGATCTAGTGACCTCCATCGCACTACCCTGAACTAAACGGTAACGTCGAGAAAATTGCATACACGTGACTACTAACAACTGTTGGAACACAAAAATGGATTGGGGCCAGACAGGGAAGAAGCCGACACGTTCACAATAAAAAATACATGTCAGCAGACAGTTGGCAAATAAAAATTAACCCGTTCAAATAGTAGCAACTGAATTAAAAAAAAAAATTATGACTAGACTAAACTTTAATAACATTTAAAATTAATAACCCATAACTGGCTATCGACCAGTTGACTCTTACAGCAAATTACAGTTAATAAAATATGTAAGCTACTATTTAAGTTTTAAAAGTTGACAGAGCTCTGTAAAATATTTAAAAAAGTAAATATTTAGTAATTCCATGTAAAATACATGAAGGTACAGAAAAACTGAAAAAAACAATAGCTATACAAACAGTAATCTATGAATTTGTATTACCTATTTAATGTATTATTCGTGAAAATATATGTTTATGTATCCTACAAATACAGGATTTATACTTTTTATAATTATTATAGTACTGATTACATTTTCTAAGGTTTGACAAAACACAAATTCATTTCGGTCGGTCTCGTGTACCTACTTATAAGTAGCTTTAGGCCCTTTTTTACATTTTCCCAGTAAAAATATTACATACACGAGCATTTATTTTACATTAGAATATGAACTACAGATAAACATCAAGAACATATCGACTGGCAACAATACTTTGTCAACAGAATGTCTTTATCGATGGATTTTGCTTGACGTTTACTATTATAAAATACAAAATAGGAGCCTCGATATTAACTAATGAAACAATTGTGGTAAATAAATACAACTGTTCCAGCTGTTGAACAAATACTCAGCTATGGTCGTACAGATCGTGTATATATATCACTGTAATTGTGTACAATCACTGTAATAAGTGTAAAACAAAATCCGTATGAACGGATATACGCCGTCAATGTTTGTACAACGTCTTTTCACGGCCGTTTGGTTTTGTCTTATTCCATTAGACACGCTTCCCAAGCCATATAAGTGGACGGTGATTTTTACAACACTTGAATATAACATTAGGCGTACGAGATTCAAAACGACACTTGTTTACTTTTCAAAATCATAAACCCTTTGCTTTATCTCGAGTTCTCTCTAGATTTCTACGCGGTTCCCTTTAATATATTTATTACCGTTATATGCATATCACTTGGTAATAATTGGGCATAATATAATGTTGTTACGCGTACGATGGAACGAACACAATCTCCAGCAGACTTAAGACGCGTCTTCGTCGAGCTCTCCTCCCAACAGTGAAAGTATAATCTCTACTTATTGCATACACACACACACACAAACGGATTATCCCCGCGTGCTATTCGGGTTTGCGGCACACACTTTATTATTAATGATAACGATTACTATGATAATCATAGCCCGTTTTACTGTTACGGCCGGCGATTCAACACACAACACACACCGGTTGCTTTTATTGCCAAACATTTATAAATCACACGCGTTTTTACCGCATAATACAGGTAAGACGACACTGACGTGCTCCGTGTCATCCTTAGGTCGAAACGTTTACAGTTAATCGGACTCGTTACATGTTATTATACTTATGCAAAATGCATTTCCTCCGTTTAGCGCATTCCTCGTTAAAGTTTTCCGCGCGTTCTACCTACGGCTGTACTATAAGCTGTTGTCGATAGTCTATTCTTGTTGACCCAAACCGAAGAATGCGCGTCAAACCGGAATGAACGTCTCAAGCTGTACGTGCCGAACACGTGAACCGAATGCTAATATAATATTATACATCTGAACACTTATAGCCAAGAGGTTTAATATTTAGGTATGCTCGGGTCATCACGGCGTCGGCGTCCCTGAGTCAGTGTAATTGTTCCCGGAACGTCGATGGGAAAAAAACACACACGAATTCGGGAAGCCAATGTCGGGTGCCAAGATCGTCCAACGAAAATGACTCATACTCGATGAAAAAAAATAATAAAAAAGCATTTTAAAACCGTCGTTTTATATTATATGTCAGAACTCTGCAGACAGAAAAAAATAACAACAATAAGCTTGATAGTATAAAAAAAAAACATTGAAAAATAATCGTTCATGATTACTTTTTCTACGTCATATATTATCAAGACAGGAAGTAAATACTATCTATTTTGAATTTTGAACATGTTGTCATATTAGCCTATACGTAGGCTTGACTGTGGAAACAAATGCTGGGCTACACGAAACACATCATTGATTCCATAAACCAACATTTGAGCAACACTGTTAACGGAATCAATAAAATTCTGTGCAACGTAGCACAAACGAGTATAATAAATATCATAATGGATTTTTAAAACATAAATAATAATATTACAATTATTTTGACACCCTTCCACAAATGAACATACTTATACGAAATTTTAATAAATTATAACTTTGAAAAAATACTTTAATTAGTTTTCATCATACACCACAAACCAATGACCAACCTGACTACACCGTACTTCCGCGTCACTTGAATATTTTTTATTACGTTTATCCATAAAAAAAACTTGTATAGAATCTGTAGTGGCTATAATTTTTTTTTTTTTGAATTTTAACAATTTAACTTCCGGACAGATCAATTAATCTTGTCACGCCATTGATGATTTTATCGAGTTGGCATAAGGGAATTTTCGTTATACTCACAGAATGTATAAATTGTATGGAATAACCCTAATTTATACCTGACCAGACAGTAGTGACACAGAATAGATTAAATATTATATTTAATCTATTCTATAGTAATGAAAAGACAACTTCCGTCTAGTTGTTATTTTAAAAATTCACATACATTTCTCGAAATAATATTTTATAATAATTAATAGATTATACCAATTAATAAAACCATAAATTCAACAGAGGAGTTGGCCACCTTGAAGTTTGAAACTTATGTTTTTTTTTTTTACTAATTGATTCGCGCAATTCAAACTAGGTATTTTAATAAATACCTATAAGCGAGGTCCAAATCAACATTTTACTGATAGTTAAAATGTATATTAAAGGGGTAATTTAAAGGGATTGATAGCAAGTTGTACATTTAACAAAAAACGGCATATTATTTTCTTATGGCCTTGTTTACTAACTGTTTAAATGCGCGTTCATTAAATTTCTCAACGGTGGATTGTGTGAACTTCTGTAATGGACGGAAGTAAATGCAGTGAGCAATGCAACAGCAGGTGTACGCGTTTAATTACAGCCAAATTTTTAATTCTCTAAAAAAAACCCTTAAGGCACTTCTAAATCTGCGTATTTTTGGTCGAAAACAACTCATTGAAATTTTAACCGTACTTGGAAACGCGTAATCCGACAAAAGTTTTGAAAAAGATTTTTCAACACTTGCTTGATGCATCGATTGAAGTACATTTTTGATTTTCGTTTTTAATAATATCATTGTAAAGATGATTAAGACACTTTAATAATTGTAATTTTTCAAATAAAAATAAATAATTAACTAAAAAATGTTTAAAATTGTGCCTTGTAAAATGTTATGAATAATTCAAATGTTTTTTTCAAAACTTAAACCAGAGTATCCTTAGTCTTCAGGGACGTTACAATAATTAGAAACATGTTTTTGTACAAAAATATAGCCTATATGCGTTATAAATGTTGAAGATAAAATTAAATATCAAAAACCTTATATTGCTGTGACTATGAGTTTACAAGTTTTAGCTAAAGCCTAAACTTAAATGTTTTTTTGAAAAATTGCTTAGACAATGCGCAAAGTGCTACTGTAGAGGCCTTTTATTTATTTAACGTACTCTGTAAAATAACATTATTATGTTCAACCTCTCTTAAAATGAATACATATTTTGTAAAAACAACAAAAAATGTTATTTTTATAACGTTTTTATGAACTCACAATCTTGTTTACAGATAATTATAGTGTATATTCTGAATTATGCAAAATAGACAAAATATTTTATTCTCTAAAGTCCAAAATACATTTGTTTACCCCCGTTGAGCTGAAAAAAGCCAATAAATATATTATTATGCAAAAAAACGGTTATCAAGACAACTGATGCGATAGTATTAATGTTTGCGTTGATGTAATGATTTCATCATAATTTTTCGCCATATTTAAGCCTAGTGAAATAATAATAATTCTATATTAACCGAGAGATGGGCGTACGTAGATATTATAATTGGATAATTGTATCTATTGGTAAACGCATTTAGTTGAAGAACAAACATTTAATCGTTCACACGTATGTACATGTGCAGTCGACGTGACTGCGGTGATGATTATCAGAATAATAATAATTCATAGTGCACACACACCGAACATAATAAAATATAACGTGACATTATAATATAATATAATGTTTAAAATCAACACTACGGTTAATTCCCGCGAAAAAAACCCATTCGGCAGTGTGAATCGGCCACTATAATAATCTTTATCACACATAATAATAAACAATATCCTAAACGATACTCAATCGTTTGAATGTCGTGCCACAAGAGCATAATAATATTAGTATTTTTAGTAATATTGAGATTAGGGACTTTTGAAATATTGTGCATAAACTCACCCGACAACAGTTCGGTTCTGCCGTAATTGGCCATTTTCTCTGTTCGGCAACGCTGTTGGGTAGTATATAAACTCCTTTAGCGGTTCATTTTTTTTTTAAGAAAAACCAAAACGATGTTGCACGCGTTATTTTCCGTTAACACACACACATACACGCGGGCAACGTGCAATGAGACAATATAGGTAGAGGTTACACACCATAGAGCGGTCCAACGCCGGTCGTACAAAGCACTACTCGGCGGTCGCGTGTCACGTTAAACGCCGGCTTTCGGTTAGCGGTGTGTTGTTTCTTTTTTTTTTGTATTACCTCCCACCGAAACCGCGTGTCTCAGCAGCTGTTTGCAACAACCGCCGCGCTACCTATACACATATTATTTTTCCATTATAATAGTATATTATTTTTATTAATAATTCTTTTTTTAAATATGAACAACGATACTAAGAATATTAAATAATCTGTCCCCGCAACGCAATGGATTTCCTTCGGCGTGGAATTCGTTGACGACGGATTTAGGCTCTACCGACGATGGTCATCGGTCACGGATACTTGACCTCCACCATATTACACGGTCTTAAGCTACACATTATAATATAATAGTAATAATATTATGTACCTAGTTTAATTCGTAGTTGTATTCGTTTTATTCTTTGTTAGCTTCGGGAAACTGTTTTCCGCTTGAAACTCGGGTTTCAACCCATTATAACCAAACAAAAGATCAGAAGCAGTAAACATATTATGACAACTATACGTTTAGCGCAAGTCGCGGATTAAAAACGTTTTCAAGCCAGAATTTACACTGTTTGTTTACTCGACTTAACTGATTTTGAACTTGTAAAACGCAAAAAAGCCAGTACAGTAAGGTTGGGGCATTGCGGAGACGGGGCGTATTGGAACGGGAGAAGTCAAAAGGAATTTTCTAAACTGAAAGTGTTCCATACAAAGTAGGTAATAATTCGACTATTTTTTATGATAAATATTAATTATTGGAAATTTTGAGCATTGTTGTTGACTTTACTTATGTAAAAAAAAACGTTGTTTAGAATTATTTAGAAAAAATAGATAAAATTCAAAAAACTAAACTAAGCCTTTTCACATAAAATGCTTGTGATGTCTAAATTATTTTTTTAAAATCTTAAATGAAATACAAATAATAACCTTATTTTTTCATAGACTGAAACCAGAAACAGAAAAGGACAGTGTTACGAAAATGCAGCGTCAACGAGATATTCTGTAAAAGAGTACAGGTACTAAATCAAAGAAAAAAATCTACAGGATTGACTGCTAGCCCCTAACTGAACCGTTTCTTATACTTCACATGTAAAAGTTCTTGGTATCAGGATGTCGAAAAAATAATGGTTGGTTTACTAAACATTCTGTTTGGGTGGTCCGATAATATTTATTAGATATTAATAGCACATATCAAGCAATACTTTTCAACATTTTACAATAACACATAGTTTTAATAAAATGTCTGGTTAAACTCTAATAGCTTCGTATACAAGCGATAGCACTCTATAGCATTTTGCTCAACATGTCACTAGTATTAATAGACTAACATGTATTCAATTTTTGAGACTAATTTTTTTACAATCTGAATTAAAAAATTACAATAAAAAAGTATACGTTAACTAAATACTACTCATCAAGTTAAAAAATATTAATAGCCGCATTTAGTCTCAATGGGAGGGAAGCCCCACCCACGTGTTTGCTTTCCCTAAAAATAATGTATACAATCCTATTATTTTAGTCCAATTTATGTCATCGAAACCGTGTAAAGAAATACCAAGACTGCTAATGACTTGATTCTGTTACTTTAGATAGCCACTGACCACCCCTCATAACAAAATCTTGGATATGCCGCTGAGTTTGAAGGGTGGCAAAGTTTCCATTTAACTATCAATGATTTCCCGCCTTATAAAACGTATAATAAACTAAGTAATACAATATTTTAAAAAGAAACATTGTGGTGGCCTTAACGTAAATTATGCCGTTAAAAACAATTACCATTTAGTTGAAAATAAACACATTATGTATTATCATAAAACATAATGATAGCAGTATAGCACAGAGAGATGATAGTTAGTTTCATTGCTTTGATACTTCAGTTGATGTCAAACTATAATATATTATACAGATAAGAATACATTACATATATTCCGACAGCTTACATTGTTAATAACGACGAATGTAGAAAACCCACATTTCTTCAAACAAGGTTATCTTATTAAATATAATACAAGAAAGGAAGATCGTTATTACAAATTTAATCATTCAGACGTTGTTTGTTAATATTGACAAAAACATATTTACTGGATTATTTTTTGTATACAAGTTTTTTTGCTTTTTCATCCAAGTAAACGTGTTTTAACTATGTATAAAGTAGAATTAGAAACCCGTATTTTAGTTGGGCATTTTTTAAAAATAATAAGTATTATTTGATAGTTAAATAATTAAAAACATTCAAATAAAAATGTATTTAAAATAAATATTTGGAAAACTATTGGATGCACTAAAAATGTATACCTATTTAAAACAATTCACTATTTGTTATTTAATGAATAATAGCCCATGTCCACTACAGTACGGATGTGTTAGTTTTTAATTTTCTTTTTACCAACATGACAGAATTTGTGCACACCGGTACAATTTTACCCTAACAGCTCTGAGGAGTTTCCATTATCTTCGTGGCATCATACAGGAAAACATTATACAACCTTTACTAATCAACAGCCTCATCCTTACTAGGTTTAACAAGGTTGGGATTCTAAAAACATTAAAATTAGCGCTGCATTTATTTTTATTTTAACAAATCTCCCATAAAAAAATAAATGTAAGTATTTTGATAAGCACTAATTTTAAGATTTAATGGTTTTAGTATCCCAAGCACAGGATACTTAAAGCTGCCATTATGATTGTACCGAGCACGATGTATACATATTTTATTTTTTTAGACGCTAATTTTGGCGAAAAAATCGGTGTAAACTATTAGTAGACTAGACACTTGTAAGCAAACTATCGTGCGTTACTTGGGAAGCAGTGCTTAACATTTCCTGTGACTTCAACGGGGGTTTACTAGTATCTCCCCGCCACGCTTTTCACTTGAACCCAAACTACTGGTAAGTTCTAACATTTTATTCGAGTCATTTCAGAAATCACACTGTAAACGTACACCTCAAAGTTAAATAGCACACAATAAAGAATAGTAATATTTCCAAGTATAAATTGTTTTTTTTTCTTCAATTAATCAATTAAAACATGCGTGCGGTTTTATCGTCCCATAATTAACGTTGTGTGGATCATTTTTTATCTGCTCTTCGGTAGAGTTTTACAGATAATTAATAAAGGCCCATAATAATGATTTAAGTAGAGGGAACTATAACACAATACAAGATCATGATCAATGTTACCGGCTACTGTGGGAATTTGTTTTTAGTTATTCTCACCAATTTTTAATGTTACAAGAAAAAAATGACGTCAATCCAAGGGCATCGCGTTTTTTTGTACGTTTACAGGATAAACCCGTACACTAATGCGCATTAACTGAAGTCAATTAACGTGTATTAAATTAGTGACTGCGTATAAATGTAGTTTATCCGTCAATAGGCGCAATTTGAACTGTATAATTAACGTATATATTGATTTGTTTGAACACCGAGCTCTCTATGGAGGTGTAGTATCTTGGGAGTGTAAGGCGAAGATAAAGAAGAAGATTGATTTGTTTGAACATTGGAATATGAAAATATGAAAACAAATACTATATTATCTGGATTAATTATATACAATTATTATATATATTGGGAATTTCCAAAAATATAAAAATATTTCAAAATATCTTTCATATTAATATAGGCGTGATCGGGATTGAGGTGTCCTATTTCTGCTTCAAAAAGTAAACCGTTAATACATTTTTCGGCGACAACCATTTTTTCCGCATCCAAAGCCCTCAGTTTCATCGCCACATTTTTTCCAAAAACATCACAGCGGTCTTCTGTTAAGTTACGAGGACGTTTAAAATGATCCCGTACCGATTCCAACAATTCATTTGCTACGGTTTCATCTTTCCTTTTTGCTTTACCCGGTTTTGACGATGATGGTGTGGCCTCGTTATTGTCAGTTGTTTCACTTGAATATTGTTGATCGGCAATCAAAGATTCCTGAGCGTTGTCTCTCTGAAAACAAATAATTTTTATATGTTAATTTTTTTTATAAGCTAGTTTTTTATGCTAGAACATATTGCATTTATTTGCTCATAATATACCTAAATATTACAGCTTTTAAGTAAATACATGTATTTAAAAAAAAATATGATAGGGGTAATAACGGTCTAACATAACTTATGTAATAACCTTGGGCGTATATTGATTCCGCCGAAATAACCTTTTTACCTGTCAAAAATTTATCGATTGCGCCGGATATCCGGATATCGACTCCGCCTGACGTTTGTACATATTGATTCCGCCGCCTTTTTTTTTTTTTTAGTTGTCAATAGGTACAAATCCATAGGTCAAATATTATACACATTATTTTACAAAATGTATTTATAAAATGGTATAAAAACATATAATACGACAGGAAAAACAATAAATGATTAATAATAATAAGTAAAATATATAAAATTCGTTATAATACAATATAATACGTCATAAATTGTCATTTTTTTTATATAGTGCTTTGACGCTAGTTTTACATAGGTAGGTGAATCTATCAATTTTTTTTATTTGAATAGTAACAAATTTTTGTAATACATTTTTTTTTAATTTCATAATTTAATACAAAAAAACGGGACTATAATTTCTGAAGGATATAATACACAAAATAGTACAATGGAAAACTTAGAAAGAAGAAACCCAGGAAATACTTTGAACACCGCGAAGATTGTCCGAGAAAATTTTATGAATTATTTTAAACAGGAGGGAACAGTACCATGGTCCATGACAAGATGATCATGTAAATTAAATTAGGCTAAAATGAGTGAAGTTGTTCTAAATAGTTATAAGCTTTTATGTAATGTAAACCATAATGTGTTTTAACTTAATAAAAATAAAAACTTATATCTTATAACTTTTTATAATAACTTAACAAAAAAATTCATTACAAGGTACAAATATTTTACTAACCTCACAACTATTTTCGCCATTACTATCCAAGTTGGATGAAAATTCCCTGGGAGTGCATTGATCATGTAAGAAATTAAATAAATCGTAGTACCACAAATTGACATAGTATACATCATCAGCAGATGCGCCAGACTTTAAAGATTGTTCATGTCTTTTCTTTTCCTCTCTAACGTTGCTTCTCAAATTATTTATTTTCCGCACAACTACTGCTTTGTTCGCGTCTGGCTCAATTTCTCTCAGTTTTTCTATGAGCAATTTATAAGCAGCTTCTTTTTTGTCTCGATCATGGTACTCTTTGCTTTTGATTTGCCAAAGACACGGATGAGTTCTATGTATGTCGATAAAATCTTCAAGCACTTTTTTAATTGAATCTGGTGGCGCCATTTTCGCGTTTCCATGTACGTGGCAATACGCGAGCCACGCGACAACCGTCCAGTCCTGACACAGGACACTAGAAAACATGTTTTTAAAGAGATCCACTCAATAACTTATAGAATTTAATAAGTTTTTAAAATGTTAATTTTTTGCATTGTTTTTATATCATGTGATCTCGTTACTTTTAAGCTTATTAGAGTGTAAAAGTTATGACGGGAGGAGAAGTGCAGTTGTATAAAAATAATACTACATCCCACGTTTTCCGTCCTTAACTTTAATCTTTAAGAGGGCATCGCACCGGTGATTTTCAGTGGTAAAAACATGTTTAAGCACAATGAAAATAACTCGCTTAATTTTGGTTTTAGAGTAAAAGCACCCATTATAAAATTAAAAGAAAACGATATTCAGGAGGCAAGACGGTGCGTTTAAAAAAAAAAAAAATATTTTTTGAAAAGTTACAGTCATTTAAAAATGTTAAAATAGTCGTTATTTCTAAACTATGTATTGAGCGTTATACTTGGAATAATAAAAAAAACGCGCACCGTCTTGTCCTCCGGAATATTGTTCTCTTTTAATTTTATAATGGGTGCTTTTACTCTAAAACCAAAACTAGCGAGTTATTTTCAGTCTGCTTAAACATATAGAGATGAAAAAATATTTTTAAACCGCTTTCAAGGATGCTGTGATAGTCCAAAAAATAAATGAACTACCAAAATAGAGTCCTAGTTGTTGAACTAGTAATTACACATCACAGTTTAACCTTTAAATTAAGATTTTGTAAAAAATTGCCTATACTTTACTTCTTAAAAATGGGCGGTGCGACGCCCTCTTAATAACAATAAAGATAATTTTCCAAGACTGGTTATCGACCAGTCAACATTTTTGGTAAAATATTCTTAATTTAAAAAGTAATTACAATATATACGTTACAATTTTCTAACGAAATTGTACAGATTGAATTTGTTAAAACTATAAGTTTTAAATTGTCGCCAAGCCATAAATGTAAAAAAACTAAATTTACGACAGAACCGCTCATCAGCCAATAACATAATTTTAAAAACTTGATCTAAAAACATATTTTGGGGAGACAACTAATAAAAAGTTAAAACATATTTTAGCCGCAACTCGTACTTGATTTAAGGATTGGGCCGCAACTCACCAACGCCGTTTCAGTTAAGAGTCTCAAAACTTTAATACAATTCAAACAATATAGTTTTCTATATGTGGTTGAAAATATCCATAATTTTGTAGGTTTGGTTTAATAAACAAAGTATGTATATGAAATTACATGTTATTCAATTAATACATTAATTAAGCAAATAACAATATAAATGTCAGTAACATAATATATAATAATATTATGTAAAACAACTCTATTAGTTCCATATAAATGTCCACGTTCGGGCGAATGGTGGCGCTATCAACGTGTCAAAATTGTACTAACAAATTGAAATCACTTTACCTTCTGTGATTCCAACAAAACATAGTTCAAGTGCTCATCTTTCAAACAATTTATAATTTATATCCCTGAGTGCATTGTAGACTTCATACCGTTGGAGATACAAAAGTACTATTTTAGTGCTATTATTTTGGGTATGCTTCCCCTTAAGATCGTGAACTACCCCCATATTCACTGAAGGCGTGACGCCGAGGATTCAAAATGGAAGATCATAGATAAACAAATGTATAGAAGATCTAAGGAGAAGATGACAGCCACTTGCAGTGTAGCAGAATAATTGTTGGTTAGCTAAACTGGTTGACAATTTAAGTTGTAAGACTGACCGGTCGGTTGTGGTTATTATTTTCTTTCCCATGGTTGTAGTTTATACCGCTGTCGTGGTCAGGGTTATGGATAAACGTTTATTGGACGGTGTATGGATGCAGACCATCAATTATTATATTTCTTATGTAAAGTGTAATAAAAAGGTGTGTTTAAAACCAATATTCTTAATATTTAAAAACTATATTATTATGTTGAATGAATTTTATTTGTTTTTTCGTCCTGAAAATGAAGGTGTGATTATTATATTGATAAAATAAATTTTAAAAAAAATGCCATCTCTCCGGCGACGAACTGACGACCGTCCCGGATAACTTAATCCAAGCTTAACAGCAGCATTATTAATCGCCATCGTATTCAAGACAAAAAAAATCCATCAAATGCATACATTATATTGTTCTTGTAAACGTTTATTGTATAACAAAATCTTTATTGGTTTAAAAAACAACTTTTTAGTACACGTTAGATAGCTAGAAGTATAACTCTATTGGTGGCGCGCTCTATAACAGCGTAACGCGGCGTTACCGCGATCGTCGGCCCCGAAGCGTCATTTGTTTATCTGTAACCGTGGTCATGGTATACCACTGACCAAAGATATAAGAGTATTGTTTTTATTATCAACAAGTTTTTAGCGCTTGAGCCAGATAAGAAATAGAAAAGCGAGTATAGCGAGTACAAACTCACAACAATATTTTACAATTTTAAATACGAATAAAGGAAAACGGTTAGCCGTTACGAATGTCGAACGATAAAATATAATGGCGTCTTTGCATAGTGTCGTGTTCTCGTTAATTCTGTGAATGAAATTAATTCGTGATTGCAAACACTTAATAAAATCAACGTAGATAGCACAAAGACGGCAGTATTAATTCTTCTTACAAATACTGGTTAATGTAATTATAATATTTGCTTATAGCAATGCCTTCTGTAGTTTTGGACAAGGAGACGTTTTTTAAGCGGCTAAAACAATTATACAGTTTCTGGAAGGTAAGGTTCTAACATTGATTATTTTGTTTATTGACCGTTTACTAATAAAAATAAATAATAACATATATCCGAAATATTAATAACATATTTTCACTGTATTTGATAAGTTATTTTGTTTATCATTTAATTGTAATAACAATGTATATTATCGTAATGAATATGAGTATTGTATTAACTTTTTACAACTATACAAATATATTTAAAAAATAAAATATTAACACACGTTTTTTTTGTGTATATATTAATAATAATAATAATAATAATGTATTTTTAATTTAAAGACTTAATTTTAGTAGTTTTTTTTATAAACTATAGTAAGAATAGAGTAAATAGGGTAAACAAATTAAAGTATTCGGATTTGTTCATGATAAATGAGAAGCTGAAAAAAATGTGTCTGGCTGATCCGCTGAAGTGTAAAGAGGTTACAGGTTGTCAGACAAAAAAAATATTTTATTGAACAGAATTCATTTATTAGTCAGCTCAGGTGACTTAGTGAGTCCAATCGTGATAAATCATATTGTGTTTAATGTCATTTAGTATTTTGGCATTGATCAAAATAGATTTATTTGAGGGCCATACCTGATGGGTTGGTAAAATTAACGAGATCCTGAAAGAGTTTAGTAAGATATTAGGATCTCCCTAGCCTTTCCTCCAGTTTCACCACTGGAAGTGATTAGATTTTAAAGACTTAATTAAGAGTGTATGGGACATAGTTTGAGTGTTTTAAAAGAATCATCATCATCATGTAGCTAAACGGGCCATGAAGGCCCAACGCTGCCATCACGAAATGGTTTCTTGACGAATTCGCTTCCGGGACGGGTCATCAATCCGTCACCAGAGAGGGAGTTGTGAGCGCTAACATACTGCCGCCTTACCCACTCAGCCACTCCTCCTCCTGTTAAAAGAATCATACTTTTATTTTTAATTAATACATAATATATATATATATATATATATATATATATATGTGTATGTGTGTGTGTGTTTTTTTTTTCAGTTTTTCAATAATAATTTGTAAACTTGTGCTTTTTATAGAAAGAGAAAGATGAAAATGTTGAAATTTTATCTGGTGTCGACGCTTTTTCATGTGCTGTTGGAGTTGATGATTATACTATGTATAGCAAGTCATCTTCCTTACAGGTTAGAATAAACTGTAATCACTTATACTTAATTTATCCATATCCATATCAATATTTTGCAGATTACTAATTTCTACTAATCTGTTGATCATTTTTTTACAATTTGTAACTTTTACGTAATAATAATTGTTTTTAAATTTATAAATATCACATAGATTTGGCTTTTCGGGTACGAGTTAACTGATACAATATCTGTATTTACATCAGAAGGCCTTCACGTTATGGCTAGCAAAAAGAAAGTCGAGTTTCTAAAACCAGCCGAAAATGTCAAGGATTCTGATTCTCCGGTTGTTCGACTTATAACAAGAGAAAAAGTATGTAATAATATGTTTAATTGTAAGTTATAAAATAAGTAAATATAATTATGTTCAAAATGGAAACAAGGTATTTAAATTTGAAATTGTAAAACTAATGCTAATGTTTTTGAATGGCTATGCATTAACACTTTGAAGAGGAAATTTTACTTAAATCTTTTTTTTTTGGTATTTGATTTTAAAGGGAAATTTTAATTTTTCATTAAAACAAATTCTAACTTAAATACTAATTTTGAGTTGTCAATTATTTCAGGGCGGCAATGACAAAGATGGATTTGAAAAATTAATTAATGCTATTAAAAGTAGCAAAAAAGGTAAATCAGTTGGAATTTTTGGAAAAGAAAAGTATCCTGGTGCTTTTATGGATTCGTGGAGATCAGAATTTAATAATGGAGGGTTTGAAACGGTAAGTTTAAGATTAAATCGAATTGTTCAGATAATTTTGTATGATCATTTAATGTAATTATTTTATCTTTAGGTGGACATAAGTGCTGTAATAGGATATATCTTGAGTGTTAAAGCTGAAAATGAAATTACCTTGATGAAAAAAGCCAGTTTAAGCTCAGTCGATATGTTTAATAAATATCTCAAAGAACAAATTATGGAAATAATTGATTCAGACAAGGTTAGCTTCGTTTGAAATAAACTCCTCTGGGTATTATAGAATTTCTAGTAATCATTAACTCATTGCTCTTTAGAAAGTAAAGCATACCAAGCTAGTTGAAGGTCTCGAAGGAGCTATATCAGAGAAAAAATATTTACCAACAAATGTTGATCCAACTCAATTAGAATTTTGTTATCCTCCTATAATACAAAGTGGAGGAAATTACGTTTTAAAATTTTCAGCTGCAAGGTATATTATTATATAAACTACATAATTTCTTAGTAAAAAATAAATGTTTTTCATTTGCTTTCAGTGATAAAAATATATTACATTTTGGAGCTATTATATGTAGCTTAGGAATCCGATACAAATCATATTGTTCTAATCTGATAAGAACTTTACTCGTTAACCCTACAGAAGAAATGCAGGTATTATTTTACTTTCTCACTGAATTTAAAATTATGCAAATATTTTATACGTTTCAATTATGTATTCTTTTTTCCTAGTCGAATTACGAGTTCTTAACAAATTTACAAGATGTCCTCGTATCAGAACTAAAGTCAGGAAATAAATTGTGTAACGTATACAACACTGGACTGGAATACGCAAAAAAGCAAAAACCGAAGCTTATTGATTATTTAACAAAAAATTTTGGGTAGAAAATAGTTTTAAAATTTAATATAATTGTTTGAATGATATTCTTAGCCACATTTAACATGATTAGGTTTGCAATGGGTATTGAGTTTCGCGAAACTTCATTGATGATAGCACCGAAAACAACTGCTCTAGCTAAAAAAGGTCAAATTTATAATTTGTGTGTCGGCGTGTCGGGGCTAACAAATAAAGAAGCTACGGATAAAGAGAGCAAAGTGTACGCCTTATACGTTGGAGACACCGTTTTAGTCAACGATGTAAGTATATTTATAAATGTTATTTAATATAAGAATCGTTGTTAATAGTAATCAATTATTTAAAACAGTTAACAATAATGTAGTTGAAATACAAGTTTATTTGAAAATGCAATGTTATAACCTTTAGGAGTTTGACATCTAGCTTTTGTTGTTCTTCTTGTCTTATTTCTTTTTCTATTTACCTAACAAACGAATACTTCTAATACTTGGGAAATGCCCCGAGATTATTCGGACGAACTGATTTTGTTTTACTGATAAAATAATTTAAAAAAATAGAATCTTAAATTTTATTTGGAACTTTATACCTGACAATAGTTATTTTTTGTATAACCTCTTTAAATCGATGCTTTAAGGATACGCCAGCTACTCTGTTGACTCCATCTAAAAAGAAATTAAAAAATATAGCTATATATTTAAATGAAAACGATGATGAAGAAGAAGAAGATGATGAAAAAGAAAATGAACCAAAACAAGAACCAATCGTTGGCAGGGGTAAAAGAACGGCAGTGTTAGAATCAAAACTTAGAGTGAGTATAGCATACATATTTTACATAACAACTATTTATTGTGTTGCCATTATTTTAGATGGACTCGTCAAGTGAAGAAAAACGGAAATTGCATCAAAAAGAATTGGCTATTGCTTTGAACGAAGCAGCGAAACAACGATTAGCAGAACAGTCTGGCGGTAAACAATCCCAGAAAGTAAGAAAGTCTAATGTGTCCTACAAAAGCAGAAATCAGATGCCCCAGGAGAGAGATGTTAAAGATCTTAAAATTTATGTTGGTAAGTCAGTGTTATTATTGTTAAGGAGCCTCTACACCTGCATATTTTTCTCAGATGTCAATATTAACTAATCTTATTATTTTAATAATATATAATATATATATATTTTTTTTTTAGATAAGAAATATGAAACTATTATACTTCCAGTATTTGGTATTCCTGTCCCATATCATATATTCACAATTAAAAACATTTCCCAGAGTGTCGAAGGTGATTACACATATTTGAGAATAAACTTTTTCCATCCTGGAGCAGCTTTGGCTAAAGGGGAAAGTTATTTCCAAAATCCCGAAGCAATGTTTGTTAAAGAATTGTAAGTTGGTTTTGAAATTGTTCAGTTCGTTTGTTCTTTGTCTTGCCATTTTTTGTGCTCAATTTTTATAAAACTGTTAATTTTAGAACTTACCGAAGCTCAAATACGAGAGAACCTGGCGAACAAACTACGGCTTCAACTAACTTGATGAACGCTTACCGGCTAATCAAAGAAGTACAAAAAAAATTCAAAACTCGCGAACAAGAAGAAAAAGAAAAAGAAGATTTGGTTAAGCAAGATACTCTATTATTGTCTGTAAATAAAGGTAATCCGAAATTGAAGGATTTGTACATTCGGCCAAATATCGTCAACAAAAGAATGACAGGTAAAGTTTCTACTGGGATTGCTTTGATTATTTTTGTTTTACACAATAACATTTTTACTAATTCCAGGTACATTGGAGGCACATACGAATGGATTTCGGTACACGTCTGTCAGAGGTGATAAAGTTGATATCCTGTACAACAATATTAAGAATGCGTTTTTCCAACCGTGTGACGGTGAAATGATAATTTTGTTACATTTCCATCTAAAAGTAAGATGCACGTACTAATAAATCTAGATGTTTATTTTGTTAAATTAAATTTAATTTTTTTGCAGCATGCTATTATGTTTGGAAAGAAGAAACACTTGGATGTACAGTTTTATACAGAAGTCGGTGAAATAACTACTGATCTTGGTAAACATCAACATATGCACGATAGAGACGATTTGGCAGCGGAACAGTCTGAACGTGAATTGCGTGTCAAATTGAAAACCGCTTTCAAAAGTTTTTGTGAAAAAGTACCGTTTGTCTATTTTAATATTATACTATTCTGTTACAGTTGAGTTTAAAATTGGTTTTTTTTTCTTCACTTATAGGTAGAATCGGTTACCAAGCAAGAAATTGAATTCGATACACCATTTAGAGATTTGGGTTTTCCTGGGGCACCGTTCAGGAGTACTGTTAACCTGCAACCGACCAGTGGTTGTCTCGTAAATTTCACCGAGTGGCCGCCATTTGTTATTACCTTAGAGGACGTTGAACTTGTTCATTTTGAACGTGTCCAATTTCATTTGAAGAATTTCGATATGATTTTCGTTTTCAAAGATTACCAGAAGAAAGTTGTTATGGTCAACGCCATTCCTATGAACATGTTGGATCACGTAAAAGAATGGCTCAAGTGTGTAGATTTGTTGTTTAACTCACATCATTTATGTAATAATATTTATTCACGTGTACCTATATTGTTTTCTTAAATCTTTGTACAGCTCTTGTGATATTCGATACTCGGAAGGTATTCAATCGTTAAACTGGACTAAAATCATGAAAACAATAACTGATGACCCCGAAGGGTTCTTTGAAAATGGCGGTTGGACTTTCCTTGATCCTGAATCCGATGATGAAGAAGGAGGAGCAGATGAAGAGTCAGAAGAAGATGAACCATATGAGGTAACACATTGTTTAGCTTCGATGTGGAGCTGAGAAAGAATTTTTGACAATGAGTTTATATTGTTATTATTATTATTTTTTTTGTGCGTGTGTTTTGATTCACAATTTATCCTAAACTGTTGTTGATTGATTTTTTCGTGTAGCAAGTCTATAAATTAGAAATTATACCTAAAAGGTATTTTGTCAGGCCTAAAATTTAAAAAGTTCACCCCTTCCTATTCAAAATCTCGTAAAATATTTACTATTTATATTTTGACACCTACTGTTGTTTTTTTATATAGTCAAATTAGTACCAAATTTTTTTTCGGAATACTATTTTGATAATATAGTACTGTTAGTTTCTCCTTAAATCTAGTTATAATTAATTATGAGTACCTAAATAGAGGTTTTATTTTCAGCCTACTGATGTCGAATCTTTTGAAGAATCTGACGATGACGGATCAGAATATTCTGAAGCTTCTGAAGATTCAGACAGTGAAGGTAATGGAAATATTTTTAAAATAAACTATTGTTCACTACATTACACTGCTAAATTTCAGAAGAAGAGCTAGGGTCGTCTGATGAATCCGGTAAGGATTGGTCAGATTTAGAGAGAGAAGCTGCCGAAGAAGATCGAGATAGGAGCGAGTTTCAAGATGAGTATTCTAAGAAAAAAATGAGTAGCGGGGGTCGCTTCCCTAGTTCCTCTTCTCACAAGAAATCCAGTAGTGATAAACACCACAGGTAATTGAAGTACAGTTATATTTTTATAATTTATTTTTACTATTGATATTAATTATTGACTCCAAATAAAGGTTTAAAACTTTTTTTTTTTTAAATAATCCATGTCACAAAATGTTAGACCCCACAAGTCTTATTGTTGGGGTCCAATGTCTGCATAAAAAATGTTAAAATAAAAACAACAAACCTTTTTTAGCTCTAATATGACTTGTTTTTTTTTCTTATTGCATGTGCAGTCCAAACAAAAGTAAATCATCTTCTCATCATCGCTCAAGTAGTAGTCATTCGAGGTAAAAAAACAAATTGTGTATATTTTATACTTATAATATTGTATTTACTTTTACCATGAATTTTAATCTTATAAGAAAAAAAACTAATTATTTTTTATCTATAGAAAAGTAAGAGATTAGATAAAATTCTTGTTTCCTACTTAACCATGTTAAAAACTCGAAAAAATAATTAGGTTGTAACGGTTGGTAGACTTGGAAGACTGTTATTTTATGTGTGGTTTTTTTCGCAAGCCTGAGCCTTACATTTTAGGTAAAGGTTTTATTTTAAATTTATGTTTCCCAACTTATTGTTTTTAACTTAAGATTAGATCAATATAACTCACTAGAGGTTTGGCAATTTAAGTTTTTTTTTTTTTTAATTTTAATAAATAATGGTAGTGCTGTGAAAAAGATTGCTTACAATCGTAATGCTTTATATAATAATATTATGTTTACAACTGTTGATTATTTTATTGTGATTTCAGTCCATCCAAAAATAAATCCTCATCGTCTCATCACAAATCAAGTAGTAGTCATCATCATAGCAGTAGCAGCCCAAGTAAACACAAGTCGTCTGGTAGTGAAAAACGTCGACACGACGGTGGTGGTGACCGCCACTCTTCAAAGAAGTTCAAGTATGATTTCTTAATATGTATTTTTGTATTTTGTATATTTTAAAAAATGATTTAATTATTCTCAACATTATTATTTTGTTTGTGCTGTAAAAATTGGATTTTTTGAGCTATTTAAGTGGGACAGGGGTGGGTGCCGCAACACATAATATTATCAACAATTCTATTTCCACTGCTATACTTGTAGCGATCGTTAGTCGAAAAAACAAACGAAGTTTTACATATTTTGGTGTAAATTAATTACATGTTATTTATTTATTTTAGGAAATAAGAAGTGAACTGGAATATTCATCGAAAACGATATTACTACTCAAATGGATGTATAATTTGGAGATTGTGTGTGCAGGGAATATAAATTGTATTTTACCTGTTAAGAATAATTTTCCGTTTTATTATTTTTTTTACTATATGAGCATCTCAAATGTATTAATATTAATGTATGTTAAGCAACACTTTTGTTTTGTAATATATTTGTAATGAAAAATAATTTCTCGAATACGTGTTTTGTACTAAAATATGTAAGACATAATTTATCAACCACAAATGTAAAATAATTATTCAGATTTTTTTTCATTTTGTTATCGCAAGATATTTTTAAGAATATAGTAGTGCACCTAATATTTAAATATACATCCTATTGGTAAAATGTGACAAACATTTATCAATACAATTAAAACATTTCTGTTGAGTACGAAAAACAAAATACATTTTTATTTCAAAAACACATTTTTGACATCATTCTGAACTAGAAATGTCTAAATCAAAATTTAAAACCAAAAAGGTTAAGTTCGAAAAAATTAACTTTGAGAACTTAATGAATTCCAATTTTATTCTGAAGATACAAATAACAGTGTGCCGGTATAAAGCAACTTCTGTAAGGTTAGTACGATTTCTAAATATTTTAAATCAATTTAAACGTTATAATCTACTAGATATAAAATATTCAATAGCTTAATATGAAAAAATAGCTTTTCCTCTGGAAACTGTAATATGAAATATTTAAACTAAATATATCCTTACTTAAGCTAATGGGTTTTACTCGATCATTTTAAAGCTAACTGAAAATATAATTTAATATATAAATATATTATCATCATCTGACATCTGTCCAGACTTCAATCGAATTCCGATATCCTGGCTGTAAAAAAATTCAACCGCATGGCAAAAAAGCTTTTAACATAAATGTTGAAAAATGTTATTATAATTTCATTTAAATCTTATTATAGTAATTGCTTTTATACGGACATTAGCGGTATAATCTTAGCTGGTAATATGTTATTTTTTTATAAGATTATACAATTTCCCGCTTATACCGTACTTGTATTATGTGATCACAGAGTTGTTTTGGTAGAGTCTGCAAATTGTGATAGTTCACCGATGGATCGTCGTTGGTCACCGATGACCTCTGTAAATCTATGTCGCCTAAAATTTCCATTGACAGCCGCCATTATTATCACGTTCAGTGAAGAAAACATAATAAAAAACGTCTTAACAAAATGTTACATTTTTGGGACGCTTATACGTTTGATTTGATTCCGTTTGAATTAGAATCGTTGTGATCTTATAAAATTATACGGTAATCGTGTTTTGTGTTCGGTCGGTGGTTCGTATTATTCAAGACAAGACGTTGGCTTTTGCTCGGTTTTATAATAATTATTGTTCGTTTCTAAAAACATGGGTATACTCATTTTCCACTCGGCGGAGGAAAAACATAAACATTATATCGTTTGCGAGCGAGAAAAGTTGTGGAAAACAGGAAAATCATTTTGAAATTGTATTCCCCTCCCAAAAAAAAATCGTTAACCGTAGAGTAAGGTTATTCTTATTTATGGTTCGAAAAAAAGCCTATGCGACATTTTTGGCTAGATAAAGCGGTGGCATGACAAAGCTAAAAAAAAAAAAAAGTACAAGCTTGAGAAATATATACGGAATGGAAACAATATTTTTTTTATTTTATAAGTTATGTATATATATATATTTATAATATAAAAAATATGTCATAGTAGGTTGAGTTCGGGTTGTTTTAGAAAAAATGTTGACATGACATAAAACTGAGTTAACACTAACTTTTAATACCAAAAATCATAATGTGTAAAATGGCCCGTAAATACAAAAAAAAAACCACTTTTATCAAACCAGCTAGATGCTTATGACTTTATAATTTTTTTTATTTAAAAAAAATACATGTAAGTCATAATCGTTTATTTAATTTCAACATAAAAAGTATAGAATCAATTACGCATTACGATTTTCGATTTTTTATTTCACAAATTATAAAATTACAAGTTATCATAATAATATGTGATTGTATAAATCTAAACAATTACAACAAAATATTTATGTATTTTAGCAAAATACCCGAATACACAAATGTACCAGAATTGCCTATGCAAAACGCCGTATTAGAAATAACTGTTGGCATGTAAAAATGCAGTGGGAAGTTTCAGAACTTCATCTGATATAGTGGCGACCAGCAATGGTATTGGGATTTTGTCTCCTATTGAATAAAAAATACCTACAAGCAAATTGAGTTTAATTAGTTTTTATTTTTTCCTTATGCGTGCAAGCTCTTTTTTTATTAAGGACTCATTTTTATGTTTTTCTTCCTAACTTACACACATGTTAATGGATTTATCTTCAATATATTTAATTATTATAGTGTTTGTATTGTTAAGGGCTGAGCTCAGCTTAACGTATGTATTTAATATGAAGATCTCTAAAAATTAAAAATTAAAAACGAAAAACTCACCGGCCACTGGTGATTTCTGTTTGAATTTCCTCTTGGTGTTATCATTTTTGGCGTTTACCTAATTAAAATATTATGCACGAGGCGATTAAAACCAACAAGTAAGTGAGGTTTTGTAATTTTGTTAAACATAATTTTACTTTTGGTCATGACAACTATTCTATTCTATTGATCTTTGTCTCTTTGCAATGCGTCTAATCTTGAACAAATTTACCTATCTCTTAATACTTGTTTCAATTGCTAGATGTATATAACACTATGATGATCTCCATTAAACTAAAGGGGTGAATCTAATTGCTATTTCGAAGGCGTTTTCACGTTACTTCCAAATTATTGCTTTATAGTGTTGTAGAAGTATAGAAAACTTGAGGAGGCTAGCCGGGAAGTGCAAAACTAGGAATATACATAGAGGAAAAGCAAAAGGGACTTGGGAGTTCGGTTTAAATAAATTAGTCGCGTTAAATTTGCTTCACCTTATTTATTGAGCTTATTTGAATTCAATAGACTATAATTTATTATATACACTGCTGGTGTACATATATAAATATAATAATAATCATAATCATAATACTTATTTGTAATTACTTAATATATCTCATTTATCTCGTGTGTACGTTAAACAATATGAAAGAAAAATAATAATTGGAAGCACAACAAAACCAAATACAAGTAACGTAATCTCACAAATACAATACAGTATTACAACCTATATAATGTTATTGTGTTGTTTTCCAACGTAAACAGGTAAACAAGAGGAAACGCGTTTTTTATTTTTTCTCTAACGGCACATGTTTTTTTTGTTTTTATTGTACTACAAACTAAAATAATATAGGAATAACAATATTACAATAAACTACGAAAACTTAAATTAAGTTATAATAATAATAATAATAATAATAATAATAATAATACATATATTTTATAACAGTTACATTTGTTTTCATTCAGTAATAATTTATACATATATAAATATATATATTATAATATATTTATTTATATAGTAATGTAATATAATAATATTAAATATTAATCTAACAAGATTTAGAATATACGACGGTAGTCTTGTATTGCACATTCTCATAATATATAGTAACGACACGCTACAGTTTTCGTTAAACGCTACGGAAGTCAAATTGTATATTATCGTTAAAATGTGCGAGTCACAACTTATTAAGTGCTTTTAAAAAAATGTCCATTAAATTATTTCTAAAAAATATATTTATCATATTATTATTATTATTACTTGTGTAACGGTGCTGGTAATGTATAAAAACGCACGAGGAGCTCGTCGGGGCGCAGTGGCTTAGTCAGACCTCGGGCCGCGTTAAATTATTATTATTATTATTATAGCTATATATTATTAAAATTGCATTTAAACGATTATCGGTTAATGTGTACTAAACGATTTTGCAGTCTGATTGTCAGCTGTTGTCGTCGAGTGGCAAGACATTCAGAGGACGTGTACAGTACATGGCAGTTGTATTGGCTAAACATTTGCCTTATTACAGCTACTATGTCTGCCTATAATGTACGGTAAGGACCATTCGACATTTTTCCAAGTCACAAGGTGATCTGTGCAGGTTGTTGGTTACAATAAACTCGTGTAGTACTTATTATTAGTTTGTGTTTGCACCAGAAAGGAACGTGAAAGCTCTGACACGATTATAAGCAATACCTATATTTTCTAAGACATTAAAATTGACTCTGGGAGAATAATATTTAACGCGGTTTGTAAGGCCCCGCGCCTTCTCCTCGCCCTCCTCTGCGTTGAAATACATTATCGTTTTTAAGACAGAGTAAGGTACACACTAGTAATAATTATCAGCTCAGTAGAAGTGCCGTACAAAAAACTGTTTTTGGGAATTTCTGAGGTAATTTTTTTTTTTTTTTTTTTTTACCGGAAAACAATAAATTCTTAACGACCGTTATCGTCTGAAATCTTCTACGCGCATTTCTACGGCAAAATATGAACATTGTGTATCACTATTAATATAGATATACCTTACTCTAAAACTATATATTATTATTATATACGTATAAAAAAACCCTTAAATCATCTCATCATCGACTAAAACACAACATAGTAATAATAGTACTAACAATATCTAGGCAAACGGCGGTCCCCCGACCAACCCTGGGCCGAGCTGAGGTGACCGAGATTTACATCTTATTATGTGCATGTATATTGTGCATATTACTCGGTTTGTTGTCCAAAATCGAGTGAGTTCAGCAGAGATGCACGTTTATTTGTTTATACACGTTTTATACGGTAGGTATAATATAGTAGCGACGACGACTAAAAGTACCCACAGCTATAGTCACTACCCAAGTCATAATATTATAATAATATCGTAACTTAAGCTAATAAAAAAAACGTTTGTATAGATAATATGTAACTAAAAACACCAATAAAAAATTTAATTTCCTTATTTTTGTACGTTGACAATTATTATTGACAAAAATTTATTATCTAAATAACAGTAAAAATTAAATTAATCTGGTATGTTTTTAACGTTTACAAAATAATAGAACTGGAGATTGAAAAATGAAATCGAGGTTTTTATTTGATTAAACAACAATTATTTGTTCAAACCGTTTGTACCGAGAACAGTTTCAAACAGTTTGTATAAGAAAAAAAATCTAAAATCCGACCACAAATGGTACAAATGGTTTAGTTTAAGAAAAATAACTATAAGAAATAATCACAGCGCTAACAGCTACTGTCTTACGAAAAATTGGTTTGTTACAACTGAAAAATTATCATCTGATAGAGATTTCACCGTGTAGACGTATCATTAATATAATATAATTAAATCATATATATATATATATATATATAAATAATAATAATTAACTAATGAGGTGATGACGTTCAGTAAACGTCTAAGTGTTTAGTCCGTTAACTATATTAATAACATCAAGTTACTGGACGATTTTTTTTTTTATAATACTTAATTATATTATTATCGTTTAACAAACTACACTGGAAATGAGCTAAAAACTGGCAATGCTATGACAAACCTTAGTGGTAGTACAATCTCCCAGGAGGTGTTTTACTCGTTGAAATATCTCCAAGACATATTTTCAAATTTTTATTAATTATTATGAGATTAGCAATGAGTAAATCCTCAAGGGGCACTGTATTGTGTGTATTCATTTATATATAATATTATATTCTAAATATGTACATAACGTATAAATTCCTAATATTTCACGAGAACATCATTAAACTATAATTGTAATTTATTTTGTTTCGTTTTTTATTTACACAGCACAATTTTTTAATTAGAAAAATTGATGTTCAGTATAAAATTCTACAAATAGTTAACTTCAATCATAATCGTTCATTTTTTATATTATTATAATAGATATACTAATCTCGTTCGGAATTATCTCAGTCCTAATACAATATTATTATAGTAATTAAAAAAGTTTTTAAATTATTCAGGTAATTATTATTTCACAACCAATTAAAAATACATTTTTTTTTTTAGTTTAAATGCGAAGCGGAGAGAAGGTAAGTATTATTCTGACTGCCAATAATGATAATAATAATAATAATAAATTATTTACTGACTTGTGCACTTTTATAGTAAAAAAAAATATTATTACAATACTATTATACTTACACTATAGTGCGGAATAATTCACAGAAAAAAGTTGTATATTTTACTACCTACGTTAGAAATTATATTTTTTATCGTCTTAATAAAAATATATATTGCGGTATAGGTATTATTATATCTCAAGTGAATTTTTCGATTCATATCGAATACATACAAAATATATTATTATTGTTTAAAAGCTCGATAAAAAATGCATCTAACGCAGTACACTTTCAATTTTGGCTTTTGTTTTTATAATACTTAGTTTTATCTACAATTATATATAACAAACGTATGACAACCGAAGTAACTTTTGTTCTAGTAAATAGACTACTTAAATAATTATACTCATTTGCGCTATAAACACCACGGTTTTTATTAACTGTTCTAAGTAATTTTTTTGATACTTTTATTTGTTTTTAATTTAAGATAGCCATTTTATTAAAAATAATTTGTCGACAATGTTGACAAGTCGACAACCGGTTTTGGATTGTTAATTTGTATGTTATTAAAGGTTAAAATTGTATCTAAGAGTGGTTTTCGACCAATCAAAATGTCAGCAAATTATCCTGAATAAAATGGCTGTATTAAATTTTAAAAAAGAGTAACCAAAGAAATAAACAACGATTTAATATAGTAAAACGGTTGAGTCCGATAGCGCGAACGAGTATGAACTAATTTTAAGAAAAAAATCTTCACTAGAACAAAATTTATTTAATTTGTCATATTTTTGTGAAACATCCTGTATAGCCAATTTTTTTTTAAGGTGTACAATGTGTACTTATTATCAAAATGTTCCGTTATTGGCATAGGTTTCAAGAAAAAAAAAAAAATTGTCCATGACGACTAAATACAGGGTATACAAAATTCACAAAACAGTCGTTTTTTATGTAAAATAATTATTTTAGTTAACTAAGTATAGTCGCATATAAAATCTTTATTATAATAATTGACTAAAAGTAATTTTTCATTTTCAGTCTGATCATATTTTTATGAAGGTGGTGTGTAACTTTTAAAAATGTATAACGTATAAAGACTTCATATAATATATTGTAGGTTACTCTAATAGTGAATTTCAAACGATCACTCCATCTAAAACATTTGTTTAATCTTGAACATAAAAAAAAACTATTTCCGTTAACTTATCATAAAACATTTTTTCTTGCCTAAAATGTCTTACCTAAAACAATTATTTCATATAAAAAACTACTGGTTCATGAAATTCTGATTAGCCTGTATTTAAGTGATATTTATATCATGCGCTTATTATGTATATATATATTATTTTGAACTTAACTTTTGATTTTACTCGCTCTACTTAAGTTTTCTATTTCCAGTTTTTTGCTTTTGAAAAAACGTTCATCATTTATGGGCGACGAATTGGTACATTCGAAATATTATAAATTTAAATGGTTTTGATTTATACTTTACAGTGTTAATAATAAATTCCTAGTGGCTAAAATTGAGAAGTTTTATTAAAACACCCTGCAGATATTAAAATCCTAACGCTACAGATACTGTAATACTTATGGCATGTACAATATAGTAAGGTATTAATTAGGTTAACTATTATTTACTATTTTGACAAAACTACACGTTTTGTAGGAATTTGTTCCCCGTTGAGCACTTTACTAAACCTAGTTTACAAATTACAAAGTAATATTATACAATAATATAGTGCTTTCCGCCAGTTATCGGTTAGCCTGAGAGTGTGCCTTTGCGGGCATGGCATGTAATAATATGATGTATTTGTTTCGGTTTTTGTTTTCGTTCTACCGTCAGTTAATTATCTATGTGTATGTTTAAATAATCTAGTCTTCTCCCAGCAGTACCAGATCATCGGCTACCACGTCGCTGATGTGCAAGTATATGATCCAGTACATGAGGTTGAAGCAGATGAAACATACCGGGAACACAATTCTGGAATACTTGTCGATGTCGCTGGGCGTGATCCCATACATCTTATTGATGTCTTTCTTGGTTTGCATGATGTGCTGCGTCGGCATCGGTGTAATGTTGTCGTCGTCTCCGCCAAGAGTGTTCTCCAACGAACCGCCTTTCAGATAGTTTTTCGGATCGTGCGCTTTGTATCGTACCTGTGTGTTAGGATAATAAAAAAAACGGTAAGACTTCTTCTTAAAAGGATGAATTTCGTATATTTATCTTCATTTTAACGGGTATATGTTATCGGGCTTAATACAAGCAATTTCACGTCACCATTTTTGCGTTACACTTTTGCTTTAATGTGATAAGAGATAAGTGATGTGATAATAGAGATAAGTGATAATTTGATAAATGATAAGAGATAAGTGTTATGATAATAGAGATAAGTGATAATTTATGAGAGTTAAGATATTAGGGATAAGTCATAATAGATAACTAACATATCCATGATTCTATGTTTTTCCGTCGTTTGGAGAGAATAACTAGATTCTTTTTTGCACATTGGCTGAATCCTAAACGATGGTTTAACTCACACCGACCTTTGCGGACTTATGATCGGTGATCGTTGATTAGATATATATTTAATAAAAGGGTCAAGTTGTAACAACTACAAAACGTATTTAAAAGACGACACCTATTTATAAAACGGAATCGATGATAAATAAGAATTTTGCAATGTCTTACGGTTTGCCTGGGCGTATGATCCGTGTCGCCCATCATCAAGGAACCGGCCAGAGTAGTTGCACCGTGACCCATGTGACCGTGACGGTGGGTGTCATAATGGCCGTGACCCGACAGTGTGCCGTGGCCGCCCAACAGGGGTCCGTGGCCAGACAACGTGCCGTGAGACGCTAGAGTGTGACTGGACAAGCCGTGCGGTAAGGTGCCGTGTCCGGAGATGGCGGCGTGACCGGACATGGTGCTGTGACCGGAAATCGAACCGTGGCCATGATGACGGGAATGGTGGCCGTGCGCGTGGGAATGCGAATCACGGTGGTCACCACCAACTCCACCATGACCACCACCTCCTCGGCCACCGCCAACTTTCTTCTGGTCGGCTAATTTTTGTATGGCCAAGAAACGGTTTTTCCTCATTTGTATTCTTTTTGCCATATACCCCACGGTGGCGTATTCTGTGGAAAATTAAAAAAAAAACGCTAATAAATGAATTCTGATAAAAACACTATACATAGGTGGCAAGTTTGTTTGGACATTTGGTAGTTTTAAACACTTTAAGAACATCCAACGTTCGCTGTTTGATTTTTGAAATTAGTCAAGTGGGTAAATCGGCTTGGAGCTAAAATGGCTGAACGTAAGGCGTCTGATTGAAATAATATCACCAACCCAGTAGCGATGCGAAGACCATGACGAAACAAGTTCCCAAGTACACGTCGATGGATTTGACGTAGGATATCTTTGGTAACGCCGCGTTGGTGGACGACATAAGCGTGGTCATAGTCAACACGGTGGTAACACCGAGTGATACTCTGGCGGGTGTAGCGCATCGGTTCAGCCAGAAGCTGACCCACGATATTATGACAATCAGCCCGCTGGGTATGTATATCTGGATGAGGTAGTAACCCATTGATCTAACAAACTGTATCTCGCAAGCCAGTCTCGAATAATTTCCTTTGAACAAATAACACATAATCAGTTGGCAGACTTGATTTCTCGCTTGGTACTCTAGCGTCAACAACAGTGCTTAGGACTTACCCGTGGTCAAACTAATTTCCATAGCTCTCTGTCGATGGCCCAACACTTTGAACTGCGGCAATGATACTTCGTTGGATACGCCCACAGAGTTTGGTCCCTTGTTCCATTTGTAACGAATGTCTCGCATCGTGTAGCCGACTAGAAACAGTAAAACGAACGAAAACCAATTTCAATAACGTTCTTTGACTTTTTTTTGGGAGGATTTTCCGCGAGTATTCCAAAGCGGAGACATAATTCAGTTTGTAAACATGTAGAGAAAAAAAAATGCTCAAATGTCGTGCAGCATGTCGAACAGTAGCTCGTCAAAAGCTTTAGGTCACATTAAAAAAGCACGTTTGTATGCAAAAAATATGTCGTTGACTTAACAAGAAAAATAAAAAATAAAATCAATAGATATAAAACAGGTCACTCATCATCGTAGTTTCATTTAAGAAAGTGCGTCTGAGCTTGTCAACATCAAACGTTACACGCTTCACGGTTTGATTAATTTTCTCAAAATATTTACAACAAATTCTTAAAAAAAAAATTTGGCATGCTACTACATTTTACAGCTTTAGCTGAAAATATCACATTTTTTTTTTGTCTTTTTACTGACAACGGAGCTAGAGTGAACAGAACTTACAGCTCTCGATTTCGATGTGGCACAGTTGTCGGTCCATCGGAAAATACTGCAAATTCATCGGACACGAAGCGGTGATGGTCAAGCTGTAACAGAAAATGTTGTTTAAAAAAAAAAAAAAAAAATAGTACTAGCCAGAAGACCTAATATGTGTAGAGCTTTTGAGGTGGTTTTTACACACTCATCGAAATCACGTCTATTCTGTATATTGTGAAACTATTGTTGCCAAAAAAAAAAACTAAATAGATAAATAGGTCTTTTCGAAATGGTCGTCATTTTTTTTTTTTTTTTACATTGAAAGTGAAGTGACCCTTCTGTTGGAATAATAATCAAAACTTTGTTTTTAGATGTCACTTTTTGTCAGCTATCTTAAGGCGTTTTCTTTCATTTTGTTGACCGTCGAACGCGTTAAATTAAACGGCCGTTGCTTACCGAATACTCCGAGTGATGCTGCCCGAATGATGTATCCTTATAAATTCGTTGCTGGTGGTAGCTATGTGGAAATACGACTGTTTTTCATTTACAAAGAATGTGTCGGGCACCCAAATATTTTTAATGAATTCCGATCCCACGGACAGGGTCTCGACCCCCGGCCGTTTGGTGAACGCCAACCGAGGGTCTGTCCAAAATTGCCTGAAGTAAAAATCCAACGTGAAGTCCTGTAAAAAACGACATGTAAAATATCAAACACGGTTTTTCGGATGGTACATGGTTGGGTGGCCCAGAGGGCTGTGTGGCCAAGGGATCCAAAACTCTTGGCAAGCACTATAATTCTTAAAAACGGCTAAGTTACGACTTGTCGCCCATTTATACGAGGGGGTTTAACACTAGAAAAAAAAAACGACGCGAATTACTTGGATAAAATATGCTTTCCGTTTTAAGCCGACTAATTCGGCGTTGCCAAAAATAATCCACAACCGACTGGATCCGAGTGAAAATTACATAAAAGCACTTGGATTAGGAAAACTCTCTAAAAAAAAGTATATACAAGGTTTTTTATTTTTTGTAAAAGGTTATAGTTAATTTGTTTGATTGTTTTTTTTGGTTTGAACATACTTTTTATTGGAAATTTCAGCGGTATCGAGCTGGGGTTTACCCATATAGAGCTATAACCACGGCTATATGAAAACAGATAGCTATTTTCTGATAACGGAAAATACTGATAAGGGAGTGGCGAAGATATCAGTGTTGCCGCTTGAATTAGTATAAATTATTGTGCAGATATTTCACAATATTATCGTACATACTCATTATTAATCGTAAGATATAAAATGATAACTAATTATATTATCACAGATTAGATAATTTCATTTAATCTAATCTGTGTTATACTATTTTATGCTCGAATCTGTGGTCACACTGATTTGATTTTCAGTCATGTGACGTCAAGGTTTTTGCTTATACACCGAGTGAGCTATACTGTTTTTATATAGTCTGTGCTATGACTGAAATGGTGAATATATATATATATATATATAAATATATTGTTAATTCAAATCAACCAAAAAATAACCGCTTGTTAGTGTTTTTTTTTCTCCTGGAAATAATATTAAATGTATAATTTCTGCCAGAGTTTTGGATCGCTCGTTTATGGTATTAAAAATTGTAGAACTATGTATATCACTAATCGTTTCTATAAATCTCAGTTCATAGGTAATAATTACATTAACAATAATAACAGTGTGTACATGCAATAATAGAAGTAAATCAAAATCGGCACGCTAAGTTTTCACGTATATATACTGTAGATATATACATAAATGGTGTTTTGTACATCATGCTTTGGACATGAAAAACTATATGGTGTGTTATTTATATACAATAATAATATCATAGCTATAACATGCATCATAACGTCATGCGATTTCTTGGATTTTACGTCGTTTGTAGTTGAAAAACATTAGATTTCGTTAAGAGCTACTCATAAAAAAGGATTTTTTTTTAGATGTAAAATATTTATATATATATAACACGAGTATGATTATTTGTGTATGATAAAACACACATCGGTATCGAACAGAATTCCCCTTAACCATTATAATAGTGTAATAATTGAATAGAGTGATTATTTTATGACATGGTCGGTACTTGAATAAAGAAATACCAATATATAAAAGTACTATAGTAACGCGTTTAGTGTGAAACATGTGGTCGTATTGTACATCTGTTGAGTGCTTGTTATGTTGTCCAACGTCAAACAAATACAACAAAATATATATATATATACGTATTGTAACCTCACCCTATATTATCTACATTTTAAATGTCTAATTTTCAGACTTCAAGTTCCAAAACTACACTAGAACAATTGAAATAAAGTAAAAGTTTCAACCCTTTACGGTAAAAGGTATGTGATATTTTTGTTTTGGTTATCTAATAGATACAACACATCATCGAATTCACTATTCAGAGCAGCCATTAATAAAGACCCAATTGCTAAAACACGATTGCTAACGTTCGATATCGAATACGGCACTAAAACTAGTTACTAGTTAAATTTATAGCCCAATAAAGTACCTTTCAGCAATCAATCTCTAAAATACCTTCAAGGGGTTTGCTATTATTTTTCTTAGTTCCAGTCAAGGGAGTTTCATATAGCCGGCTAAGTAAATAAGCACTATACTGTGTATGTGTGCGTCTCATACGTTTATGTAAAAAATCCTTATTGACTCGTACATCAAATATAAATATCTATATATATATATTTATATAAATATGTGCTAAACTTCCGTGTACTCAAACATAGTAAACTTTTGAATAATAAATACCACTGGAACGAGAAAAAAAAAGAAGCTAGAACGCACTATAAGTGTATGTATACTTTAAAAAGTAATAACATATTTTACTATTGCATAAAAGTTTGCAACAAAAAAAAAAGTTATTACTTTTCACGATCGAACTTCTCGTGTGTGAGTATATAATATATTTCTAAAATCGTCAGACTTATAGCTCTGTCCATTTTTATCCGTGTATGCGACGGTAAAACAATAATAATGAATAAAAAAATATGAGTCACCGGAATACAAAAATATGTACCTATATATTTTTGATAAACTTTATATTATTATACATTCGATTCTAGTGCACACAAAGTATTGTCCGATGGCTAAATTCAGAATATTATAATTCTGGGTGGTAATGAACTACCGACTTTTTAGACATTGAAATTTACAAAGAACGACCTTACCTATGTTTGGGGGAATACCTATTATCTATAACAGGGAGATTAAAAGTGTTGATAACAAGATGATGATGATGACCGATTTAAATCTGGAAATACGAATGAAGGATACGTGAAGATTATAGTTGGGTCAATATTCACAAATAATAGGTATTTAACCTCCAAAAGCAAAGAGTACGCTTTGAACTCCAATTTAGTATAACTTTGAATTGCAAAAGAAGTATATAATATTATGTTGAATCATTATTGTTAATACACTCTAATGATCAAAATAATATTGTAATCCTTTACAATTATACACACTTATGTATTATTCATTGAAATCGAACCTAATCGTTATTAGATTAGTTTTTATATGGGAAAATGTTGTTGTTTACCATCGTTTGTGTATGCAATTGCGCATAATTTACAATATTATGTAAAAATGTCCGAGACATTATCGACAAGCAGCGAATTCGCATGCAGGGAACGTCTTTTAGTTCCTTTCATTTTCGTAACGTAACGAGACGAATCATATTGTAATATGTTTGTTAGTAATAATAATAATAATAATAATAATAATTTCGATTTAGCTAACAAATCAACCGAATGGTATCGTCATGTTTTGTGTATTTTTTTTTTAACATTAGACTCGAAGATAAAAAAATTTAAAAAAAAGCAACATTTTAGCGTCTGTTCAAACGGACGTATGTACCTCCTATAGTTGTTTTACCAAGTACAAAAATGAACAACTAGAGTAGATATTAAAACAACTGGTTTGAAAAAAAAAAACAATTGATAAGAACACGAAAGATAACGCGTATAGAAACATGTATAATAATATGTACATGTGTATAACCCGTCCGTTACATTTTTAAATTATCATTAGGGTTTAGCCACAGATATAAATAATAAACTAGCTGCTAAGTGTACATGCCGCCAATAGAGATGATAATAATTGAAGTCATCATTTTCCGCCACCTTTGTGGGAATTACAACCTTATCATATGTTTATAACTGTTATCACTGCTTAAGACAATATTATCATAGAATAACCAGAAGAGAAACTTTAGACAAATTACATGGGTCTTATGACCCGACGAAAAAAATGTCATACGCCATATTGTCTTTTCGGCAGAGAGCCAGACTATATAATAGAAAAGCAATAGATAATTTGAGTTCTCCGAAGTTTCTGGTCACAATTGATCCCTTCTGGTTATTCTGTGATATTATTTTATACACACATAAATCCCACAAAAATGGCCGACGTCGACTTCCATTCTTATCACTAGTTAGCAATCTAGTTTATTGTATATATATATATATCTGTGGTTTAGCGAAACCACCGACACAGCATTGTTGCCAACTTTATTCGTTATGCCAACGGGTTCTACACACATATATTATACTTGTAATAAACACTCTTTAAAAAATCGTACAAATCGTATTGTGATTTTACAGAAAAAGGTAAACAAATAAGATAAAAAAAATGTTTAAAAAAACTTCAAATAAAATTCATTATTATTATTATCATTTGTTTTGTACCATTAGTACTTCGGAAACGGAGCTTATACTGAGAACATACATGGTGACTCCAACCTCTACTGGGGGACCTGTAACGATATAGGTTAAAATATGTCAATATTGTTGTAAAAGGACGAACAATTTTCGCACATAAAAATAACTCTAAACGTTTGGACTTCATAGTGTTCATTAGTGAAACCTCTAAAAGTCTAATAAGACATGTTTAAATAAACGCATCTTTGACCATACTCGTACCACAGAGTTGATGAAAATTGCATTTACTCTGTGGGCATACCTCCTTAAACTGCCAATTTGTCATTATTTCTAATTTATACTGTTGTTACACCTATAGTGTACATAATATTATCGAACACTGTGTCGCTGGTCAGATCAGACCTGAGTAAAGAATACTAGGTATTAGTTGGGTAATACTACGCAAGTCTTGACGGGGTCAATGGCAGTTGATCGAACGCAATTTTATCTGCAGTAGCGCATAAGTAAAATATATTAATGGAATTTAGATACCTACTATCGAGACTATTGCTATAAATATCTACTAAACCGTTTTCCCGGTTGCCACACGGTTTCTACATGGTATGCACAAAAAAACTAGATGTAACATATTATTTTGGTCACTGGCCCATCTATTATAAGCCTACCTGTGTCAAGACCAAACGAAATGACCGAGTCGCCATTAATCGGTTAGTCGGTGTACATGTTCATTCTCGAAGCACTTAAAACTTGCTTAGCCAAAGTACAAAATGTCTGTAGTTTCGCAATACTTGGCGTGTTGTATATTTTAGGTGGTCAAGTTGACTACGGCAAGAGTGATCACAACGCGCATACAAGTACCTGTATGCCATGTTATCTCTGTATGAGGATAGAGGAAGTTATAAAATGACGGTTTAGCGCATCGATCAATGCTTACTCATTTAGCTATAATATTATTGTGACCGTCGCTAAATAATGCCAGTGCACAAAATTAAAGGCTTTACCTACACTGCCAGACAAAAAACAAATGCCAGCAAAACGAGGGGGAGATCAATCGAATTTCAAATATAATCCGTATGGACGGTTTCCACGTGTAACTGTTGGTGCGATAGAAACACAATATGGGATAAGGTGATAATATATGTGACGTTACAGGAAACACAGCGAAGGCAGGCGGTCATAAAAAGAAACCAAAACTAATAGGAATTACCCACATAAGAACATTTTACCTGCAAGTAGGTGCACAACCGTACCTAACCTAACGTAATTGAATAGATGAACTAATCGTTACTTAGTCTTAAGTCTAAAATTATTATTTTTTTAATTAGTCACGGCCAGTTGTGTAATTAATATTCACGTGTAATCCGTACACAGGTCTATTTATTGCGAACCAATTCAGTAGTTTTGTTTAGACAAAATTTGCTTAACGGAAAATTCTGTGATTTTTTACACCACTAGTTTCGACTACGCATAAATTCGATTGAATGTACAACGGGCCGAAAGATTTCCACTAAGAATATCTGTTGTCAAAAAGTTTAAACGGCGCTTTATACCCCAAATCGTTTTTATAGATATAATTTTGTTTGCTTTATCGAAACATCAGGCGTTTTTCTGACGTTTTCTTGTTGTCTCGTCCCAAAGGAAACAAAATAAAAAGTACTCCGAGGGTTCGAGAAACTTTTTATAAGTTATTCATGACAAATCAAATCCCGTCAAAACATATTTTTCGGCTCTTCGCGCGTCAAATAGATTGGAAAATTGCAAACCGAACAACCCGAAAAGCCATTTTACACACATAATAGAAAAACTTAATCAAATATTTGTACATTTATCTGTATAATATTCTCTCAGTTGCGGCTATTGAGACCGTTGTTGCATAATAACATTTCTATTTAACGCTTATCAGTGGCGCGTCAAAGGATGGAAAGTTTACCAAATGGTCTGGTCTACCAAATGAAACCTCAACCGAAAAAATTAAAGGACTTGGGGGTAGGTTTGGAATGAGATATGCTCGGACACGGCTAGAAACGACAGCGCTAATCAAATATAATAGTTTTGGAGTGTGGATAGACGTGCTGGCTCTTTTATCTAGACAGTAACAATATGGCCAGAAAATAAAGCTTTTAGCCATAAACAGGCGGTCTGAAATTGTCGAATTATTCCATTTGATCATAATAATATGCTGTCCTCAACAGCACCGTTTTAATTATCACGTGACGTCACTGTTCGAGTGTTTTGCTTAATGGGAAATCGCGTTGCACTTAAATACTATATAAAAAAAAAGTGTACATTTGTAACATTGACTTCAAAGGGTATCGTTGAAAAAAATATTACACGTGTTTAAAAAAAAAGCTTTTTACGTTAAAATGTATAATGATATTCCGCATTGGTCGGTTTAAAAAAATGAAAAGAACGTTTTTCCATTAAACATGTTTATACGGTGTACGTTTGTTTTTCAATAGTTCAAATAATATGATTTGATTTGTCCGGAAAATGAAAACTGTTTTTATTTAGTTTTTTCGTTTACCGTGTTTCAGCTGAATGAACGATTATTACTCGGAAAACGTTTGGAGGAATTGCGAAAATATTATCATTCCGTTTAAACGGTTAAAATATGTTTTTTGTAATATTATTCAGCAAGCGTAAATAATCAGACGAAAAACAAATAATTCCACGAGCTGAAACGCAAACCGACTCCTAAGAGGATGCTACCCTTCACAACCCCACCCCCATCCGTAATTTGTAGTGTGAAAACAGGGTTTCGTCGAATGATTAATGAATAATTTATGGTGGTTGTGTAGCACTGCATTCACCGAATTTCCATAGGAAAATAGAGGACAATATTAGACTACTATATGCTAAAGCGTGGTAATTGTTTGCTTGATCAATTTTATTTGAAAAATGATTCACTCTTTATAACAATAATTCTAAGACACATTGATTTGAAGAAAAAAATAACCCTAGTTATTTTCTCCGCTCCACGGAAAAAAATTTAATCGTGGATATGTTATCTCTTATCACTCGTTTCTTATCTCTAATCTCTTATCACTTTTCTATATTTTACTGCTTACTACACTGGTCAATATACTTTCGGTCGGTCATTTTAACAAGAGGCAACGCGCGAAGATAGTGGGAAAAAAAAAACTATGCCGTTTGCTATTACATAAGTGTGCTACATACAAAAGCTAAAACGACAGTTCTAAAACGCAAAACGCGCTATCTAATAATAATGCTATGTCGATTGATAATAATTATGTTAATTATCGAAACGATATACAAGAGACGGGCCAGCAAAAATTATTACGCCTCGAGCACTGTCACAGTGCTACACTTTATTATATTAATATTATACACTTAAGACGATAAGAACGTTGGTCTGTGGGGAAAACGTGTGCCCTTACCCGTCACCATAGAGTTTGTGTTTGTTTTGCGGCCTAGGACTGTAGATAATACATACCATAGACCCAAGGACTTGCGGTCTTTCTCGTCGGTTGGTTGATAATAACATTTTTTTTTTGACGCTTTCTATTATGGCCGAACAGAAATTATAATATTATTATTCTGTATTATAATATAGACGGCGTCGTAAACAAACACACCGCACTCATAGAGAGTAAGTATAGGTCTCGTCGTTGAATATTTTTAAGATTATTTCCTCCTTTGGCCAGAGAAGCGTGTGGCCCAAACTAGGTACGTAGTATAATAGTGTATTATAATTTAAATAATTATATATAATAATACAATTGTCAAAGATTTATGAGATCTAAAATTGTGTTCATATAATCAGATGGAGTAAATTGAATGTATCAATTTCAAATTTCTAAAATATAAACACGAAATTTTCAGCCTTTTTAAAACCGTTAAGTTGTGTTTAAAAACTGTTGAGTTTTTACTAAAAACGGCGAGCAGTTGCCGTGGCACAGAAGGACACAATACTGTACATTGTAATAATATGTCGATAATCACGACCACGTCCTTCGACCGGGCCCGACGGGGTTTAAGTTTTAACATAACGGTATAAAAATATAATAAAAACAAAATCCATTACACGAGTTTTGTTTAGACACGCGCCCGGAATTTCGCCGCCAAACCAATTTAAACGTCCTACGCGACTTAACTTATTTTCTTGCAATAATTCCAATCCAACAACCACGGTCCGTCTAACAAAAGCTGTATTACATATCCGAGTAATAAACGCATTTAAATGCCGCAACAAAAGTACCGTCGAGATCTCATTTTCTAGTTTTTATTGAAATAATATTAACTTTACTACGAAAAAAAACCAGATAAAGACAACGTGACAAACAAAAAAGTCGTACCAAAGATTGAAATAGCGCAGCACCTTAGTGACACTGACAATAATAAGCCCCCCAAAACGGGTTTAAATGATATTCTTTTTTTTTTTAAATTTTGGGAAATCGTTTATGGATTTAGATACTTATTACAATAATAATATTTAAAAACATGGATATGTTATTGGGCTGGATACAAGAGATATAGCCATTTTCGCGTTACACTTTCACTTTCAGTTAGTGATAAGAGACAAAATATAAGTGATATGATATATATGATAATAGATACGTGATAAGCGATAACATATCCATGATTGAATGTTTTTACGCGGAGCGGAGAAAATAACTAGGTTTTTTTTTATTGTGTTTTTGCTGTACCTACTTTTATCCGTTTTGACAGCCAACTATCGGTCTAAAACATACTTAGGTACACACAAGGTACGCGATTATTTTCAATCATTTCAAGTATTGCTTATGCGTCTAAACATACACTGCTTATCACTACACTAAAAGCTCACTACGGCCTGTTTGTTCGAATCGTCGTTTTACTTCTATTCAGATGTTGTTTTCATACGGATATAATTATTATTGATTATTATTTAATAAACGACTACCGGGAGCCGTTGAACAACGGTAGGGAAAAATTGTATTGTATTATAATAATATTATAACAGTTACTACGACGTGCTATTAAAAAAAAAAAAAATAATAATAATAATAATAAATCGACCGTTACGTTAAACTAAGCGTTTTAAATAATAATATATATATATATAATATGTAATATGGTTGGTACGCAACACAATAATGATACTAAATGAGGTTAATGGTAATTAGAACTTAGTTTGTTCGGATGCAACTACCGTTGATTATAATATAATATAACAACTAAGATGATGATAATATATATAAAAATATAATAAAGAGTAGGTATAGTAAGTGTTACGTATAGAAATACAAAAACAATAATTTTAAAAAAATAATAATAAACACATATTGTATGCTTTCCTATCATAACCGCAATAATGATAAATTACAATAATTGCGTAGTTATCTTTATTATTATTATATTGTTTGTACCATTTGCACTTCAGACAAAGAGCTGATGCTCAGCACGTACATGGTGACACCGACTTCTACTGGAGTACCTGAAATCCGGCATATTAAAAAAAAATATGTATAAGAATCAAAACGATACTGTTAGAATTCAAGCGGTTTTATATTTTAAAGATATTGTACGAGTTGCAAGTTTATGTAAACTCGCGTGCAACATTTTTAAGGCATCACAAGTTAGCTTGTTCTTTACTTCCGACCGAGTTTGCAAATCATTGGCCATATTATTTTATCAACGGGTACTTTCGACAAAACTATTGAAACAGGTAAGTAAAACAGAGATCAAAGCTGCTCGCATTGTTCTGTGAACAGCTACTAACGATGGGCAGATATCGGGTCTCCAATGCTATGATCCATTTGTCTAACTCGTAGATCATTCACAAAACGTTAGACCTACCCAAACGGTACTAGGGTCGACCAAACGTAAATCTACATCGTTTTAGTAGCTCTTCAATTAAAATCTATCAGACGACGATTTATACACCGTTATCCGTTCTACTTGTTTGTGAGACACACGGGCACTGAACTCAATATGAAACGCGTATTCAGATTTTAAAATGTCCCAGCCTAGGAGGCAGCCATTTTGTGTACCGATTTCATAGAAAGTAAAAATGCTACGTTAGATGATGATGATAACACCACAGAATAGATGAAAGCAAAAGGGTCACTTTCAATGTAAACAAAAATGTGACGACAAATAACAATTATGTATAGATATAACGTTATAGCGGTGAAGCTTCGAGAAGATGGCCGTCGCGTTTTTGTGTGATAAGTATCTTGCCCGTGTTAATTCTTATCAATGTATGGGGCCTAATGATAACATAGAAAAAACAATGCATATCATGGACAAAACAATTACTGTTCACAAAATGGCAGCCTGCTACTAGTGGACATTTTCATAAGCAGGTCAATACATATTACATAACACATTGAGTTCAGTGCACGAATCCTAATCCGGAGACGGTATTGATGTATAGAATTTTTCTATTATCCAAAGTTTACACACAAAACGTAGACCTATGTATCCGTCGTGATGCGCCAGACATAGTGAAGTCGTGTTAAGACAAATGTTATCGCCTTTCCTTAGCAACGTGTTCTGGGCGTTTTTAGCTTCGATGCAGAGCATAGATGCTATTTCGGCTTTTCGGTCGTAGTGTGCGATAGAAAAAAAAAACCAAATTTATCTATACAAAGACAAGGGGGAGCAAACAAGAAAAGGCCAAGTGTGATAAACACACACACACACACACACACGAGACGGGACATACCTCGCGTGCACTATGTGTATGTACTGTGTTATGGGTTTTGATCGAAGAAGAACACGTGCGTTTGTCTGCAAGTCCAAAGCCGACCGAAATTCGCGAAGAAACCCAACCAACCCCTTGTCTATTGGCTTCCGGACACGTGATAACAGCATGTGTGTGTGTGTGTGAATATTATGTGTTTGTGTGTATATATATATATACAGGGCGTGTTTGCCGTGATCTAGGCTGTGTTGGCGGCCTTACGCGTGCTAAAAAAGCTCTGAAACCGCTGCTGAAATCGAAAATAGCGTCACGGCGCTACAGGTCAAATCGATTTCAGGGGAGATGATGGCCGAGTTTGCACGCCCACACGCCGTTCTCTCGCCTGCCTTCCCTCTCTCTCTCTCTTTCTACCCCCTCTCCTCCGCAGCCGCGTTCCTCTCCTTTATATACATATATATATTATATCGCTTAGTTTAGAGCTCTCAGGCACAGCGCAACATCCCACCGCCGCCCGGCAACGCTTATCCACGCCACGCCGCCGCACATTCCATTCACCTCTTTGCCAACCGGCAGCAAAGCCGTCGTTGCCGCCGTATTCATATCGACTGGGTCAATTCATAATATACGTCATACACCCATCTCCCCTTAGCCAGCAGGCGGCGCGATTTTACAACCACGGAGGAGAGAGAGAGAGAGAGAGAGATAGTGCGCACAGATATATAATATACACACACGACATATTATTATCATTTATAATAATATCAAAATATGTTATTATTATAGATAAAAAATATACGATACGATTATTGTGTATCGTAAACGCCAAATTGCGCTTGCGTCGTTTGAAGACTAAGAAATAAAAAATACCACCTTAATATTTTGGTCACAGACTATATTATTATGAAAACAGATAGCTCACTCGCGAAGACATCTGGGTAGCGCCGGTAGCCGCAATGAATCGGTATAAATTATTGTACCGCAGATTTTTTACAATATTAAGAGGGCGTCGCACCGCCCATTTTTAAGGAGTAGAGTATAGGCAATTTTTTACAAAATCTTAATTTAATGGTTAAACTGTGATGTGTAGTTATTAGTTCAATAACTAGGACTAGGAATATTTTGGTAGTTAATTTATTTTTTGGACTATCACAGCATCCTTGAAAGCGATTTAAAAACGTTTTTTCATCTCAACTTGTTTAAGCAGACTGAAAATAACTAGCTTAATTTTGGATTTAGAGTAAAAACACCTATTATAAAATTAAAAGAGAACAATATTTCGGAGGGCAAGACGGTACTTTTTTTTCATTATTCTAAGTATAACGCTTTATACATAGTTTAGAAACAACGACTATTTGAACATTTTTAAATGACTGTAACTTTCCAAAAAATTAATTTTTTAAAAAAACGCACCGTCTTGCCCTCCGGAATATTGTTTTCTTTTAATTTTATAATGGATGCTTTTACTCTAAAACGAAAATTAAGCAAGTTATTTTCAGTGTGCTTAAACATGTTTTTACCACTGAAAATCACCGGTGCGACGCCCTCTTAATGTCAAACTCAAACGGTAACATTTAAACACAGATATTATATTGTTTAATGAACTAGATTGCTAAGTGTACAAGCCAGTATGCCAACAATGGATAAGATAATTGAAGTCACAATTTTTGTGGGAATTAAAACCATATCACAAGTTAAGTTGATAACGCAGAATCAAAGATATTATTTTTACACACACATAAATCCCACAAAAATGACCGACGTGGACAATTTAGTTTATTATACATATATATATATATATATATATTATATGTGAATTTAAACGATAACTGACTACATTGTCACAGATTGGACAATTTATTTTTAATTCTAATCTGTGATGTTATTATGAAATTTTACACTTGCTGTGGTCACGGTGATTTCCGTTTTGAGTCGTGTGACGTCAACTATCCGTTTTCATAATATTATATTATAGTCTGTGTTTTGGCTTAGGAATATTATCACATGGACTCCTCGCGGTCAAGTATATAATATGCAACGCTATACTTATGCAGTCGGCATTAGTGTGATGATATAATATACCTAATAGTACCTAAGTACAATAACGTACACGGCGGGTATGGCGTTGTGTAAATGAATGACTCACCTCCGTAATTCGGTCTTACTCTTTTGTCGTAGCTGCCGCTGAACGAATCTAATATAGCTGAAATGTTCACGTCGCCAAACATACTACTGCCGGGAGCGCTGAAACAAAATATAAAAAATATATATATTATTACAAAAATCTTAAGTCGCCTACACGGACCGTCATAAATCATAACGGGGACAAGTCAACGGTGGCGCCTTTCGAGTCGTAGTAGCTGCGTACTGCGTTTAGACCAACAAACTATAATGTTATTGCCTATTAGATAGCAGCGGCATTTGTTTAATACACAACTCGCAGGCCCGTCCATTTTCAAAATAACTATACAACGTTCTCCGCCAACAGACAATGCCGGTTTGACAATGTGAAACATTAAAATATTAAAAAATCGTTTTTCAATTTCAACCAGCCCCCCCCCCCACTACCTTATATGAATTAACGAGTAAAGATAGGCTAAAACTGAGAATAACTATTGGATTAGCGTTTGAGAAATTAGGTTTTCTTATAAAAATACAGTACTTAGCAGTACTGGGTTTCATTTAATAAGTTAAACTTTCAACAGTTAAGACTTCGGTTTTTTGAAGAAAACCTGCAAATTTGGTGCGATCCGAGCGGTTCTAAAATTGTTTATGAGACACTACTATATTATGGATGTAGACTAAAAATCCGAGCCGTACCTAATTGGTTGAAGTCGGTTGACATTGCAGTCACGGACTAAGATATGAAAACAGATGGCTCACTCGGCCATAAACAAGGAAATGTTTAAAAATACTGAGTGGCGAACATATCGGTGTAGCCGCATGAATTGGTATAAATTATTGTGCAGATATTTCACAATGTTGTCGTACAAGCTCCTTATTAATTATAAGATTTAAATGAAAACTAACTATATTATCATACAGATTAGATCGTTTCATTTACCAATCTGTGATGTACTATTATGAAATTGTATGGTTGTTGTTTATACGCCGAGTGAGCCATTATTTTTTTTTTCATAATATTATTATAGTCTGTGTTGTAGTCATGTGTGGTGTAGCTATAAAATATATTGTCGTGACTAAATTGAGCGTGTAGATTAAACGGTGATTCGGAGTAATAACTATCATAATGTCGTGTTAAACGAAGAACTATGCCAGGTAGCATGTGGCGGGGGTGGATAATAGATGTGTTTTTTAAACCGGGTGTTAAAAAAATATATATAATATAATATTCAGTTGGCGTAAACGAAACGGTCGGCGGACGAATTGTGTAAGCAAAATAATAATAAGTGTTTTAATAATAATTCAAAACGAACGAAACGCAGTGCACGCGGATGGATTAACAAACAAAGAATAATTATTATCGTTTAGACGGGCTTGCTGGCCGTTTATTTTCTCTCTTATTCGTCGGGAAATTAAAAATTCAACAGCAACGCTCAGCCAAACGTCCGGACTTGAATTCGATACCCTTTTGAATATTTTCAAACACCCTGTCAATAGTGTATGGGGTCAGTTCAAACCGAAATCTGTTGAAAATTATTAAAATCTAAAATGTTTTTCTACAAGATCATTTTTGTAGTAAAAAAAAAACCACCTATAACTAATATGCTAAATTGTATTATACACATAAAGATAATAAAATTCAATCTAATAACTAATTTGCACGATCAAACCTCTTTTTTTTTGTTGCAAATATTGCCTAAACTTTTATCATTTAAAAAATATTTTTAACGTTAAGTTGTATTGTATAGTAACTTTGTGTTATGGTCCGTACAAGGCAGTAAATGTCAATTTCAGTATTGTTATTTGCTACAGTAGATAATATTTAGAACATATAAATATATATTTTATTATATTGTATGTACGGTATTTTGTTGTTTATTGTTTAGCGCACTACTTCACTCCAATATATTACATATATAGTTTACACTCGTATCGACAAACGCTTTAGATGTACTTTCTGGTGTTTTTGTATCGTCACACTTACATCATACACCAGTAAGAGCATAAAAAAAAGCCAACATAAAAGAGTTTTACTGTATAAAAGTGTACTTCACTTTGAATAGGTATTTTTGGTACAAGGGCGCTCAGTGGCAAGTCAACACCCATCGATGGTTATCGTTGCAGTTCTTTTGTCCTTTTAAGTGTTTTGGCTGCTCAAGTTTTAATAATTCTCTTCGTCTTTTAAACGCCAATAATATAATATAATATCTCTTGTTTTCAAAACACAATTCAATTACTGTATAATTTTAAGTAAAAAGGCGGAAACGTATGTTTGCCTCGAGTAGTTTAAAATAAATTACTAACTGAATTGATTTTACTCTTTGAAAGGGTTTCCGCAAACCGAAAATGCAATAGGCTCTTTGAATGAACTAAAATGTTAAACAGGGTTAATACGTTGGTGATATATTTTAAATAAGCATTCATTATGCAGGTATGCCGAAACGGCGACTCGAAGAAGACCATAATTATGTGAATAATTAACGTGCACGCGATTGATTGAAACAACTATATTTTTATGATCGGATCTGCTGTCAATTGATCGAATAATAATTAGCCATTAAACATTTTACGCCATAAGACAAATAATTACACTCGAGACGATAATCGAAATCGATTACTTTGGTAAATACTAAATATTCAAGTAAAAGTGAACAAATTAATAAATGTTTACACTTGAATAAGAAAAGTAATTCTTTAAAAGAGATACTGATAGGAATTTTAACTCGTTTTCAGATTATTATTTTTTTGTTTAATCTCTTCATCGTGATCGTGTCGTTGAAACGGAACTTCATCTTAATATTTCTGTTTCATATTATACATGTAACATATATTAATATTTAATTTTTTATTGTAACAGACCACCTAAAATGCCAGGTCATGTTTTAAAATACTTATTATATGTTACTTGGTCCAGCATAACACAGTGAGTTGTGACGGTATAATGTAACAATGGCTATAAACACCACCACAAACGGTACACTTATAACTTCTATTGTGTGTTATGCGACTTTGTCAAAATTGAACCCATACGTCCGCTACTGGCGAGATGTGTTGTGGATAAACATGAACGGTTTAAACGGTTTTCACATGGATATGTTTTTGGGCAATTTTCGTGTCACGTTCGATGTACATGTGTATTGTATTCAGATGTTCATTGTAAAATATTATAAATGGTTTATGAATACACATAAAATAGTATAAATGTCAATATACATATATATATATATGTGTCAATCCTGCCAGCGCAAAACAATGAAGACCAGCTAACAGGGTCGACCTCTGGAAGCTAAATGGACTCGGATTCTAAATCTCTATAGCCCCCTCAACAAATGTGTACTTATACATTTAACATACCTATGATTTAATATTTTTTCCGAAAATATAGGCTTCATACATGGGATGTAACACGGCGTTTAAATATAAATCAATTAGTAAATTACATTAATCATTGACGACTTAAAGATTTTTTTTTTAAATTAATCAGGCACGCTCTAAGGACAAAGTGCGAAATCGATTTTAATTTTTTATAGTTTCCAGCAAATCAATCAACTTGTGAGTAATGCGAATTATATAGTTGATGATAATGTCGGCGATCCGTTTTCAATAGTATCTTCGAATGAAATTCAGTAACGATGAACGTTTGAAAGGAAACGTTTACATTACCTCTACGGCCCTTTTTTGTTTTGCATGTGCTAATTAAAACGTACCTACTTATTCATTCAAAATACAATAAATAGTTTGTTTAAAATCAACTGTTTATAAAATAACCTTCGGTCGGTTAAATGATTGACTAACGGCCAAATCAGTCGTAGGTCAATACCCCAAGTCGAAGACAAATTTGTTTCGTTTTTAATTGTTTTTTGAGACATTTTAAAGGATGCGGTGGCTTGACAAAACTAAGAAAACGTTTCTATAACCTTCCTGTATAATAATTATTATGATGTCAACAAACTTCTTACGATTCACCGTCCGCTATTGGTTAGCCGCAATGTGTCAAAATCAAGCGATACGGACTTGGTGGAGGGGGCGGGGAGGATACTTACGCTGCGTGTGTGCTCGACGTTTGAGCCCAGAAGGTGACGCAGGCCAACAGCCACGCGGACATTTGGCTGGCCGCCGTCACTCGTCCGGCCATCGCGGCCGACGTGCCGGACGTCCGCCTGGGTCGTCGGCTGACGGACGCCGAAGCGGCTCTGGCGAGCGCCGGTGCTCCTGTAATTGCCGGTTGGTGGCTATCGGCCGGTCGCTGGTGTGGCGGCCGTCGGTGGACGGCTCTCGGGCGGTGGCCATCTCGGCGCCGTCGGTCGTACGGCCGGATCGTCATGGCGGCAGCGACGGCCGTGCGACGACGACGGACACGACGGCAACGTCCGCTGTCGCACCCGCATACGTCCCGGGTAAACGCGGACGGGGGAGCGCGGCAGTCACACGGCACGATGCGAACGCGCCGTGTCGCGACGATGTTTGTTGGGAACACGACTTACAAAAATAATATAATAACCAGAATTTATTATTAAAATTTAAGTTTTTCGGGGGGGGGCAGGGGGGGCTGTGCGGGCGGCGTGAAGAGAGGGTCGCGCTTGTCGGTCCGGCGTACGCGTAAAGCAGGTGGACGTCGGCACGAGAGCGGCACGATACGGGCACCGGTACACGCGGCGGTCCCGGAGCTTTCTCCGGGGTTGTTTGCGAATCCCGTGGCAGCTGGGCACAGGGGCGCCTACCGCCGCCGGTGGCCGCGCGCGCCGTATTGATTCGGCACACCCGTCCCTCGTTGTACGCGGCCGCACCTCCCCTCGAGCCACTCTCCACGGCGAATGGCCACCACACCGCACACACACACACACACTCCTGCACTCATCTCGGCCGGTCCCTGCGGCAATTACCTAAGGTTTTTCGATACGTATAATACGTTGGTGAGTTCGCAACACGCCGTCATTCTGATTTGTTACGTTACAATAATAATAATAACAATGTTGTTGTTGTTGTTGTTATGTACACGAGCAAAGACGGCCTCGATACTTGCACACCGCGTCCGGGGATACCGCCTTAGAGCTCGTACAGAATTGTACATGTATAGCGGCCACGGACTTTGAAAATAACAGCTAATTATTTGAGCGTCGCGGCGGTGCCGGAGACTTGTTTGTGTTTATTGTTTGTTTACCGTCTGCACCGCGCCGTCCGGAGAGGAAGTGCTCGACCGGCTGCTGGCTATTTCACTTTACACGTTTCCCTCTTTGGCGGCCCTCCCGACCCTCCACGCCCCTCCATACCGGAGGAAATCTGAGCTTTTGCCCCCCCCCTCTTTAAGGATTTTACTTTTTTGTTTAACCGTTTGTTTTGGTTTGACTGTCTTTAATAAAAACTAAAACGTCGAACTTGAACGAAAAAGAACCATTGGCAGAGATACTTAAAAATGCTGTGGGATACTAAAACCCCTCAAAACTTAAAATTAGTGTTTTTCAAAATACCTATGTTTATTTTTAGCGAGAGATTTCTGAAATAAAAATAAATGTAACACTAATTTTAAGTTTTAACGTTTTTAGAACCCTGAGCACCCCCCGAACTCCGCCAGTGCAAAATATGACGTTATATTTGACCGCACGCCGACAATATAATTAGGTCACAATAATTCAACACGCTCGGTTAATACAAATGAAAATGTTAACACGGCCGTCCCAGTCGCATATCGATGGGTGGCCGACATAGTGTAAGTCTTTGTAACTTTGTAAGTTTATTATTGAACTTTCCGACAAATCTGGTTCGCCTCGTAGCACTGATAATGGACAAGTGTTCAATCCCACAGTCGAACAAAACAACTATTTTCCGAATTGTTGTACACTTGCTAGACTAACCGTTTGAGTCGATTATTATCGTTTCAAAGGCGGTTTTCTTGAGCGAATGTGTCCGAGTAAATATACATGTATAGTTTATATTTTTGCAAAAAGTTCCTGGACAAGACATAGCGCAAAGTTGACGACAGTGCTTGCCGACCGAACAGCGGCTACCGTGCAGTGCTATTATGTACACTATTACTGCTATACCCCGTGTGGGTAGGTACATATTTTATTTTGCTTTCACTCCGGTCGGGTTGACGGATTTATGTGCTGCGAAACGACGTACAATTATTGTTATTGTTATCCGTTGCCGGATTTTTTTCCCCTGCCATATAATATAATAATAAAATATTCGCCCCCGCACACCTCTGCGCGGGATCGTTACTTCCGCCTTATGGTAAAAATTGCGAATCGCCTGCACCGCGTTAACCCTCCCAAGACGGTAATAATGTATCGCGTGTCTCGAAAACAGACCTGACGCGATAAAACGTCCGGGGGGGGGGGGTGCGGGGGCCTCGAGAGGGTACTTAGGGAGGAGGCAGGGGAGGGCATTCATAACACACGAGGTTTTTGCTATTTTTCCACGTTATATTATTTTATTATAATATACAATATGTATATAATTCCAATATTGTAAAACCAAACTTTCCGTCGACCTACAAACATAACACGGGGCGGATACGTCTTTGATTGCAGCAGAAATGTCAGCAGACACACGAGATTGTTATGGGACGGCAACCGGTTTGGAAGTAGTGGCGTGGTGTGGGTCTTGTTACACTATTATTACATACATTACCTATATATGCTAATAAAACGCGTGCACAAAATACATCTATACAGGGGCGGATAGGTCCTTCTATATCGGGGAAGAGGAAGTTCACCAGTTGGGCCCCTCGTTTATGTCTAGGTCACAGCTGTACCACTTAGGTATTTACTTTTTTTTGTGTAAGAAAATTATTTTTCCATGTAGGTATGAATAAAATTACCATGTAAAAAATAAATAAAACTGTTTAACTTCAAAATACCGGTTGGAAGAGTCTTTTTCGCCTTGTCAACAACAAATAATGTTTCAATTTTCAGCACTTAGTATACTCTATTTACTGCATTCTAGTTCTACCGTTTAAAATTATACATAATAGATAGATATAAATCTTTAATAAGTACATAGTAACGCCAATGTTGGCCAATGTAGACCTGTTGTGTGGAGACTGGCTGTTGACTTTGATCTGATCAACACTGATCTCATTTTGTATACAACTTCATCTTTTCAACGAAGCAACCTGCGCTGTTGAAAAAATGTACAAACCGATAAATGCTGTGATAAACACGTGGGAAATTGTGTTAACATCTAAAGTACATTTGACAAGAAGGGAACAAAAAAAAAAAGTTTTAAACAGTCTTTACCAATAACCGTACAAAGTTTATTTTTAGTTCACCGACACGCCAAACGCAATGATTTTCTATTGTGACTTATTTTATAAATAAAGTCCAGGATGGCAATTTAAACTATTCTGTACAATTCTGTTGATATTTTACTTTCTCGATTTCTCAAAAATCAACTAAGTATGGTAATCGAAGTGGAAAAAAAATTAACGTTGATAACTTTAAGCGTTTGTTATGAATAGGAAAAAAACCAAATGCTACACACTAATAGTGTAAACAAGATATTTAATTATTTGATTTAAAAGAAATTATTTTTATAAACGTTTAATTTTCAATTTTCTTTGAAACTAAAGAGATAGAAAGTAGATTCTAAGCTCATTACATAGACCTTGTCAAGAAGATACAAAATATTAATTAATATTATACTTTGCTTATACTTAACGACCTCGTTGACGCGTTTAAAGCTGTTAGAATTTTCTAGTAAAAAAAAAAGTTTCATTAGCGGTTGACACAAAATCTGCTACCGTTATACTCGAGTACGATTGTTTGTGTGGAATGTTTCTGTATTATGTTCTTGATAATAACACCGTTATATTATTATTATGGTCGGCGACTGTTGCCTCGCCCTTCCTGTGGCGGCGGTGGTGGTTGAAACGCGATAAATCAGTTGGTTTCCCTCAATCTGGCCGCAAATGGATACACCACCACTTGTACCCTATATATTATTATGTGTGTATGTGTGCCAGTTAAATACATATTTTAACAAACGGTATCCATGTGACAGCAACGAGGACACTCCGGCACTATAGCTATAAACCGCATTTTGTTTTTAGACTACAATAAACATTGAACGATGAGTTTAATGACCCAAACGTTGTCCGTTAGATGGCGGTATTTAATTTAGCGAATAAAGTTGTTTGCGCTTGGATGAGAAAAAACATTAACGTGACCCTCTCTCTGATCAATCGTATTGTTTCTATAACGCCTATTATCTTTATTATGGATAATTTGCATTTTATTTTTACTTAATATAACAACAATTACCTGTAGTAACACGGTTGAAAATTGACATACTTTATGGTCGGTGGAGGTTTAAGACCAGTGTTGTTAAAAATTTAAAAGAACAATTAACAAATATTATTATAATACCGTCAAATGACATTAAAAAAAAAAATTGTTATTACATTTTTAAATTAAATTAAATAAACAAAGGTTTTGTTATCACTCTTTATTATTTATAATTTAAATTATGATATCAATTTCTAGATAAATAGCGTCATAACTGTTTTATTTGTCTAGGTATAATAATAATAAGATGATTTCATATTTTTTGTCTAGATAATTCCCAAGACTGTATAGGACGAGGGTATCCGACCCCACAAATGGTTGCGACGAAGGAGAAGTAGAAAAAGAAGAAAAAGATGTTTTTATTTTAGGTAGCCAAGGTAAGTACTATTGTACTTGACAACTCGTTCTAGCATTTCAGAAATTCACACATATAGTACTTGCCCAAAATGGCCAATTAACGAGCGCTTTTCAACGAGAAGTTCGGCGAACTTGTTTCAAGGGGACGGCGCGGCGGTCGGGGTGCGGTCTTGCCAAGAAGTCGAAAAAGCATCGCCGGACCGAGAATTATTCGGCCTATACTTTAATGCTGTTTAATGTTGTACGGCAATATAACGGCAAACCGCACACAAGCGTGATAATAATGAGAGTATGAAACCAGTGTTGTCAGCTGAAGCGTCGGTCGGAACCGTGAAATTCAATTAACAACGTTATAAATGACATGACTACCACCACCACCGCCGTTAGCCCCATCCAACCCTCGCCCTGATTCATTATCGCCTCGGTTGCCGACACGGTTAACAACTTATAAGCGACCGAACAACACAATAATATACGACGTTGGTATTTTTCACTTGTACAGCTTTTGATTTTTAAA